TTACCCAGCAACCACGGGCCTCGAACACATCTGACAGTCAATCTACAATGCTAATGCAACCACTAACATCTTCATCAATGGAATCGACAATGGCCGTGACATCACTGATGCCTTCTGCATCAATGGAACCCATTAGTCAACAGACTAGTCAGACTGAGCTACCAGCAATGCCTAGTAGAAGCATCTCTGAGCCATACTTTGGTCAAAGTGATAGAAAGGTGACTGGTTAAATAGCTTTTGATAAAAAAATTTACACAAACATGCAGAGGAATCTTTTTGCAACCATTTTTACACTTAATTGCTCATGATTCTTTCTCAAAGACATTTACTTCTCCTTAGTCCATGTGAATCCTTGGAACAGTGATGGGTTGCCTTTGTTTTCGGAATGTGATTCATAGCAATGGAAACATCCCCAAAATTGAACTTAGGAAGATTTTAAGAGTGTTGTGATAGTTGCCTGCCTTTGAAAGAATTGTTAGGATAAGTTCATAATAAAAAAAAATCTTACCTTGTATTTGAACTGGAAGATAATGTTGTTTGTTGATTTAACTTTATGCTCATGTGACATGAGATTAGTGTAGTTTGACCGTTGCTATAGTTGTGCTTGAAAGATTTATTGGGATAAGGTATTAGGAAAAGCAGATATTCTATTGATGGGGTATGAATTTGGTTGCAATGATTTGAAGTTAAGGATCATGTTTGTTGGTTTCTCTGTTCATATCATGCAAGTCTTGTAATTTACCAGCGTGTTACAGTAGTTGTGTTTTGAACTTTATTGGTGGGATAAATCTCAAGCTATGTTACTCAAACTTGGATGTCTGTGTTGGATACCTGGCATCTGTTGGATGTGGGCATGTTTGATTTTTTTTCCCAAAGTTTTTTCATGTATTTGGTGGATTATACCCCCTATACCTATGCCCAAATATGTGTTGTACACGATACTCCAAGGAAACTAAAGAGTCGAAGCAACATAGATATCAAGAATCAAGTTTTGGAGGTGGCGTATTTCTTTTTTGCTCGATCATCATGGTTTTAACTGACAGTGTTTGAAATAGCATATACGATATAACATAATTACAAGAAGAATCGTGAACAAGGCAAATGCAAATGCCATTTTCTTTTTACCCCTTAAATTTTTATGTTATCAAATATTAAAGTAAGAAGATAAGTTATGATTTTCTTTCAGAGTGCCCTGTGAAGGAGAGTTTGTCAACCCCACCCCCCCAACAACCAATTTCTTCTGTGGCTTTATTATCTTGTTTGGAAAAAGGGTGCAAACAAATGGATTGTGATCTTATGTGTGATCTTTGTTTTGATAAGGTTAATTCATCCAGTGAAGCTAACTCATCTGGGAAACAAGAAAAAGCAGCAGTGTCAAGTGGGACTTCTCGATTTGGTCGTTTTGGCTCACAGCTATTTCAAAAGACTGTTGGTTTGGTCCTAAGATCTCGACCTGATCGCCAGGTAATTTATAGTTAACTGAATTTCTGAAAATTATTCTTGATGCATGTAGCTTATGTCAATTGAATATTGAGCTTCTGCTTCATTCCACGGTGAGCATTGCAGGCTAAACTGGGTGATGAGAACAAATTTTATTATGATGAAAAGCTCAAAAGATGGGTTGAGGAAGGAGCTGAGCCTCTGGCAGAGGCAACAGCATTGCCACCTCCACCCACTAGTGCAACTTTCCTGAATGGAGTAAATGATCAGAGTGTAAAAGATACCCCCAAAACTGAAAGCTTTCATGCAAGTAGTGAAAATAAAAGCTCCATCTCTTCTGAACGGAGCTCAGGTATTCCACCAATTCCACCCACTTCAAACCAGTACTCTGCTCGTGCTCGAATGGGTGTCCGCTCAAGGTATTATAATTTAATTAACTTATTAGGTTGTTATAAAGCTTGCTCTCTCTCTTTCACTCAGTGTTGTTAAATGCGTAGTCTCCTTAGCTTGTAGCTGTCGCGGTGTTTTCTTATAAATTTTATTGTTAGTTTCTATTCAATATTCGAGCCAAGTCTTTTCTCCTTTTATCTGATAGTGAACCATTTCAAAACCATTTCAGGTATGTTGACACGTTCAACAAGGGTGGAGGCAGCCCTGTAAATTTTTTCCAGTCTCCTACTCCATCTGCAAAGCCAGTGGCTGGTTCTAGTCCCAAGTTTTTCGTCCCTTCTGCTGTCACTCCCGCCGAAGAGATGGTTCAAAATACTGGGGGGAGCTTTCAGGAAGCAGTCATGAGCAATGAAAGTCCAGCAGCATCTTATAAGCAAGATTTACCTCCACCACCAACTACGGGTATGCAACGGTTTCCTAGCATGGATGCTATTATGCACAAAAGCGTAGCAGCAGCAGCATCTGATGGCAACTCTCGACGTATAGCATCTTGGAGTGGAAGCCTGAGTAATGCTTCCAATCTCTCTACTGCCTGGGACGAAATAAAACCTCCACAAGAAGCCCTAGGTATACCTCACACTGACTCTAATTCAAGGGAATACCTTCAAGAAATCAAGCTTTGAGGCCTGTGGATCGAAAAGTAGTGATTATGCTTTCGTTGTCACCCGCCATTTTGGTGTTGGGGAAAGATTTATGTGGGGGAGCTGGGAATGGCAGAGGCTTGAGTTTGGTTTTTGGTGAGGTGTAATTCAGGCCGAAAATTAGTCCGAGTACAAATCTTCTTCGGCCATTCCTCTGACTTGGTGTCCCAAAATGACCGGAGAATTCAGCTGCCTGCGTTACTTGCTGTACAGGTAAAAGGGTCATTCATCATTCACCCAAAGCGAAAAACCAATATGGCTCTTCCGCCAATATATTTGAACCGCCACTTTTCACTTGCAAACTTGTGCTGGAAGGAACTCTACTACATTATTTTTAGCTGTAGCAGCATTTTATACGTTTCCTTTTATCTAATTTGAATAACAATTATTGTTTAAAACATTGTGGAAAATGATCATAGGAATATGCTTTTGTTGCCTTTATAGTTTAATTACTAGGCTCAGCAACGAATTTAATTCGGGTTTTTCATTTTATAGTTCGATTTTAGTTTGATTTAGACTTTTAACATTATATTCCGGTTTAGTTTCAATTTTCTTATAAGAAACTTGTTTGTTCTAAATCAAATGATTCAAATCAAATTTATTTTGACTTTTTTATAAGACATTTAGATAAATAAAATTTTATTTTTTTTAAAATTTAAATTTGAGTGTTTGTACCCAATTTAGAAGTTTTATTTTCTTGAAATATCGAGTTTTAAAATGATGAACATTTAAAAACAACAAAATTATTCTCAACTAAATTGAAAATTTTAGTTTTTATACTATTTGGTTTCGATTTTATTTTTAAAAGAATCATATAACATAATTCAATTCATATTTTATCAGAAAATTGAACTCAATACAATGTTACTAATTACCTGATTTATTAATAGGCTTTAATGGGTGAATTGTATGGTGTTTTTTAAACAAGGTTCTTTGAGAATAATATTATAAAATTGTAGAAGTGGAAAAGTTAAATTTTAAAGAGATTTTTTAAAAAGAAATGTGAATATATATTAATTGGAACTTTTTTTTATTAGTTTAAAGTGAATATAAAATAATCTTTATTTGAAAGACTCAATTATTTAATAATAATATCATTGTAAATGTAGTGCTCAAATCCGAGACTTCAAGTGATAATAACAAACCTTTAACCACTAAGATTATTTAGTTCATATATAAAGTGATTTGCTTAAAAAGTTATAATAGCATAATTTTGTAAAATAAGAATCCCGATTAAGGATGAACACGAGTCAGGTTGGGTTGGATTTTTAGTTAACTTGACTCAAAAACCATATAAAGTACCTTTTTTTTACCTGAAATTCGACATGATTCAAGTTTAGGTGTTTGGCTCAACTCGAAATTCAACCTGTTTTTTTAGATAAAATTCACATATGAATTGATATGATATATATATATATATATAAAAGAATATTATTGTAATTATCACTATATATATATATGATATAATTATATGACATTTTCATATCAAATTATGTTAAGTATTTTTCACTTTAAACTTAAATTTGATCTAACCTGAATATATCTTTTAAAAAAAGTTTAATACCAAAACAAGTGCCCAAACCATATTGTTTTTCTCAAACAGGTGTCTGAGCTATTTTTTGACTCATCCAGATGCCAAACGTTATCTATTTAAGTGCATGGGCCGTCAACGACGTTAATTTACCCGTTAAGTGACACGTGTCACAATATGGTGATTTTGAATTTCTTTTTAAATATTAAAAATATTATGATATTTACACACTAAAAAACTAATTTTTCTTATATTATAAAACAACCCCTAAATCCCAAATCCTAACCTTAATCTGCCGTCACTACCCTTTTCGGCCACGACCATTGCCACCGACATAGTCCCTACCATCCTCATACTCGTACGTTGTCGTAGTTTCTATCGATTGACCGTCATAATCTCGTGAGATCACAAATTTCATCATACGATTCGCGGGGTATAAAACGTTGATTATTCGTTGATCGATCACGATTTTATGGAGGTTTTGGTCCTCGGAGAAAAGGGATGTTGGGTAGAGTTTCGTCGACGACAAAAGGCGGTGACTGACGTGGGTTTAGGAGTTGAAACGAAAATTTTTAAAGTTTTGGATTTATTTCAAAATTTGTGTTTTCTTTTTTAAAATATATATCTATATATAATTTTAGTTTTTTAATTTTAAGTAACATTTTAAAATTACTAAGTTGTAACATGTGTCACTTAACGAAATAATTATTTCCATTGACAGTTTAAACACCTAAATAAATAATGTTTATAATGATAAACACAACAATAAATCAATATCTATTTGAAAAAGAAGTATAATTAGGATACTTATTTTGTCGCATCAAACCTTTAAAATATTCAACACGATCCAGATGGAAGTCGAATCATCTTAATGAAACCCGAATAAAATTGAATCCAATCGAAACTCATGGGTTTAAATCTTGTGTTGTGCCCCTCCCTAATCCTGGCATACGCAGATGCAAAATTCTCAAACAAAAAGAAAAAGAGTTTCTCACAGTTCATCTCCATAGGGCTATGATTCGCAAATTCTCCGGAGAACATTCTCCTTCCTGCTGAGCGGAGATTTCTTTTTCTATTTCTAAAGAAATGGATTACACGGCCGAGCAGCAGCAGCAATACCAGAACCAGGCCCAGCAGCAGTACCAGAATCAGGCACACGAATACGATCATTCTCAATACCATCATCAGCACTACGCCCACGCCAATCAACAACAGCAATACCCTTATTACCCACCTCGAGATTCTTATTCCCAACAACAATACTCCCCCTTTTATCAAGAAGTCGCTCCCATTCACCCTCCCGGCGTCCCCTTGGTCCACCCCACTCAGCCCCCCGTTTATTACCACCCATCTCAGCCTCTTGTCAACCCTCAACATCAGCAGGGAGTTCCTGTTTCGGGCTCCGATTCCTCCGTTTTGGCAGCGAATTATGTGGGGAATGTGGGTTTGGCTCGGAGGGATAATCGGCCTCGTCAGGTTAGGGTTATTTATGAGTACGTCTACATACGTTTTCTTTTATAAGCCTGAAAGATCAATCGTGAACATTGTTATCTGAATTCATTTTTTCTGAAAGAATTGGTAATTACCAAAATGTTTAAATTGTTTTAGATGGAACATTGGAAATTTTTGAATTTGATATTCATAGAAGAACAAGTTTTGTTAATGGGAATTTGATTTTCACAGAAATATTGTGAACCACGTTTTGAAACATGTTTTCATTCTGAAACTTGTTCGTAGATGTGTTACTATTTTTTGTTGATTGACGCAATGTGTTGACATGGTGTTAGGATTTGGAATTCAGAATCAGTTGCTTGGACTTGGCTCAGATTAGCACACCCCCTATTTCAAAGTTAAATGAGCTTAGCTCAAGCAACTATATGTGATCTTTCGAACATCTTTGCTGTATTGAATTCGTGTTTCTCTCTCTGGTCTGTACCAATGCTACATTAACTGGGCCTAGATTGCTTCTTGTTTAAAAGCCTTGGTATTTTATATCAATTTAACAGAATTGTACAGCAAATACTTCTTTTTAGAGGTGCTTGGTTGAAGGATGCCACTTTGTATTGTTTTTTTTCTGAGGAGCTCAAGGATGCCAGTGTGTCGGTTATCTTGGCTCGCCTCAAATTGTAGATGCTGATTGAAGATGTCTTTTATTAATCACTGTCCTTGTGCTAGGTTGAAGGTTATATAACTCTTGGCTTCCATAGTAATGCTGTTATTTAATTATGAAGTAAGTGTATTGTTCTCCATCAGGCTAGTATGCAAATGTCCATTGGTCAGCAGAGCTTATAGGTACTGAATTCTTGGCACTCATCCCCCTTACTTGAAAGATATTAGAAGACGAAAAAAATTTATCTGGTTACAAATTGCCAGAGCAACCTGATAAAGACAAGGATATCTAGCATAAAAGTTTGCAATATCTTGTGGCTGTAGCTTTGGGTCCATATGTTATGGGTTAATAGTGAATCAGTGATAGCATTTTTCCGGTTGCTTTGGGGATGATGTGGCCAGAGAGCACCATTTTACTGATGTGCTCAGTTGAAAAGTGATGTCTTTCTTTCCCAATGTCTCATGTGAGGGAAAAACTTTCGTATTTTGTAACCTCCATTTTTGGGTTTGATTGCTATCATTCGGCTTAGTTTGTAGTTTCATAATTATAATCATAACGACTAATGAGCTATCTCTAAGCTTCTTATGCTGCTTAATTGTGTGGCAATTTTAAACTGTCTTTTGGCACCCGCACAGTTAAGGATGCAGTATTTATCTTGTTTTAATTTCCCTCTGCTTAACATATAGTATCCACCATATCCTGCGGCAATTGTTTATGGATCCACTGTTTCAATTTCTTTAGTTTTACACTTAGGCCAGTGTTTGAAATTTTGGATTTTATGCATTGCTATGTCACCTTCTGTGTTGGTGCTTACCACACTTTAGATGGAATGCATTGTGTCTTTGAGATCTTTTGGCATAGAGATTATAATGGATTTTTATCTCATAATCACTGAACCACAAGTACTATAATTTTCTTATTTATCTGACTTTATCTCCATTCCGTTTAGATCGCATCAGTTCTAAGTCATAATGAGATAATAGTACTTCAATTATTTAATAGCCAGTGTGCCAAAAGTACTTGTGGGAATTTTCCAACTATGTTATGGCATTGAACAGCATAGTCTTTCTTTTTCTTGTTAGGACCTTGAAGCATATGCTTTTTGAGTACATGAAAGCAATTGTTATTTTATGCAAGATTTCCCGGACTTCTCTCTTGGTAAACATTTTTGAGTGTGTTGTTATAATTCTAATTCAATTTTTTTGTTCAAATGTTCTTACAGCAGCTTTAGTTTTCAGCTTATTGAAGTACTCATATTCTATAAACTTAATATGACTAACGCCTACAAAATTTGGCTATTTCTTGTCGGTGCAAATTGTTCTCATTATTGTGCGAAACCTATATCCCGATTTATTGCACGTGAGTTGTAAGCTTGTTAACTACATGATTACTTATAAGGTCAATTTATCTGTATGTTGGCACATGTATGTCTAAACTCTATATTTCTGTTTTTTTATTGGCTTTGATTTACATTTTCAGTTGAGAATATTTTTGGCCTGGTTATGCTGATTTATTTTATCTTGTTAGAATCTGATAATTATTTTGTTATCTTTGGATCTATTCTACAGATGCAATCTGCATATAGGGGTGGAAGAAGGGGTAAAAGGCCTTCTAGAGGGGACAGATTGGGTCATGCTGGTCATGGCCATAATGACATTCAGCATTCTCCAAATCTTGTGGCTCCAAATGGAGCAGCTGCTGCAATGCTACCTTCAGCATCAGTTCCTGGTCATGCAACATTAACATCTCAAGTGCCACCTGCTCCACTCCGGCCACCTCCACGTATGGCTTGGTGTGAACTTTGTAGGGTTGATTGCAATAGACCAGAAATCCTGGAGCAGCACAAGAATGGAAAGCGTCATAAGAAAAACTTGCAGGCACGAGAAGAGTTGCAGAAGCGGAACAAAGTCATATCTGGACAGCAAAGTATGCAAGTGCCTAATATGGGATCCGAGGTAAAACAACAGCAACTGTATACAGTTCCGTCCTTGGCTTCCACTAATGACAATAAGATAGAAATTGAGCAGCAGCAGGACATTGCAAATAAACCTGAAGCATCAACAACTGGTCCTGCAGAAACTAAGACGAATTTAATGAATCCCTCTGAAGCTCGTAGTCGTGTTTTGAAGCGTAAGATGAGAGGGGGACGAGGGGGTAAATATATGAAAAGAAATGAAGGATCTAGATCATTTGAGCCTCCAAAACCAAAGATTGTTATTCCTTTTATGTGTGAATTGTGCAATGTCAAGTGTGAATCCCAGGTGGTTTTTAACAGTCATCTGGCCGGCAAAAAGCATATTGCAAATATGAAGAGGTTTCACGGGCATCGAGCTTTATATGGAGAAGCAGGTCTTCAAGCACTTTATCCACCTAATATTAATGATCCACCGCCTCCTTTGATCCCTCCAATTCAACAAGGTGTTACTGACCCACAAGTTGCTTTAGCTCAGCTATTGACTTGTGTCCTTATCCAAGCCCAAGCTCAAGTCCCGGGGATGGCAGCCCCTCTGGTATCTCTACCACTAGCAGCATTGGAGTCAGCACAAACACAATTATTGAGTTCTGGAAACCAGTACAGCCATGAGATTCCTCAAGGTTCATTAGCCACATCAGAAGTGAGGAATGGATTGGCTACAATGGCAGAAGCTGAAACTTGGCGACAACATAATGCAGCCAAGTCTGAAGCCTCACCAGCTGCGGGAGATAACAAAGCAAATAGTCAAGCATCACAGTCTGAAAAGAATGAAGTGAGTCGGCAACAATCTTTCACTGCTAAGTCTGAAGCGCCAACAACTGTAGGAACTGATGTTAAGGAGGAGAATGGAGCTTTAGATAAAGAAAGTAAAGCAGTGATTCCCCCCATGGGTAAAGCAGTGTCCTTGGATCCAGTTGATGGGTCAGAGTCCAACAATGATTTGGAGGATACAGAAGACGAAGCCGACGACCCAGAAGAGGAAGCAGAGGAGGATGTTGAGGAGCAAGATGAAGCCGACTAAGTCGAGCAGAAGACTACTGGCCCTCTAGAATTGGTAGATGTCATCTTGAATTTAGAAAATAAATTTCGTTGTCTAGAGGTATAAGACGTGAGTGCTATTAGGAATATATATATGATGCATGCTTTCTTTCTCCCGTGTCCACCATAGGCATAGATCCAAGGAATCAACCAAATGATATGTAATTGATAGTTGCTGGATGACTTCCTTTTGAGCAATGGGAACCTTTTCAAAGTATTGACTTTAAATAAAATTATAATTTCAAACAAAGAAGATTTAAGATTAAGATTTTTCTTTTTTTGAAAAAAAAAGAAAGGAAGTTGTATTAAATCAGGCAGGACAAATTGATTTTTACATTTTGTAGGGGGAAAAAGAAAGAAATAACACAATCTTTGCAATTTCCGCAAGGAACACATCAATAGAAACAAGACTATCCTCCCGGGGAAAAAACCCTAAAAAAATCTTGTTCAAACACCTGTCTCTCAATCCTACCAATTTCATTCTCAAAACCAAAACATGAATTCCATCTTCTCCGTTCATAATTATTTATAAAAAAATATCTTTTTCTCTTTGCTACTAATCTTTTATGGCCTCTCTCGTTGAGATCAGTAGGTACAATCTGATTCCGCTCTCAGTCAATCCTCTGTGCGGTTGCCCATGCCGTCTCTTATCCAATGGAACCCTTTCTCGCTCTCGCATAACCCCTAAACTCAAGCTTAGCTTAGTCTTTCATGGATCAGAACCGCTCTTCCGGGTTCCTTCTACCAATATTTACGTCAACCGGCGGTTAATTACGGCCGTGGCTCGTTCTGAACCCGAAAGTATCGACGAAATCAATGCCAACGAGGTACCTTTAATTATGGTTGTGCTCCTATTTATTTAAACTTAGTACTGTATTTTTGAACGTTTGATGAATCTGATTATTGCAGTTGGTATGTCCGTATAAAAGAATCTGCTATCATGAAGAGTTAAATTCCTTAAGAAAAAGCGAGAAAGGAAATGGACTATGAAAGATTTATATAATTCTGGAATTAAAAAGAGAAAAAATTTACACCATTTGGAAGGAATTGGTAGAATTTAGAAATAATCATAGTTATATTGATATTACCGAAATTTCTCAATCCAATTAAAGGAAACCTTTGCTCAAAGTTAGTTACTCGAGACAGTTCTGTGGTAGGAAATTGAAAAAGGCCATGAGTTACCAGTAGCAAAGGATTCTCTTTCCGAGCTACAACATAAATCAAGTCAACTGAGAAAAAGGATTGTTTTTGGACTTGGTATTGGGATCTCTGTTGGAGGTGCTGTACTAGCTGGAGGATGGGTTTTCACTGTGGCTTTGTCTGCCGCAGTTTTGCTTGGTGCACGATAGTATTTCGAACTGGTTAGGAGCCGCGGAATTACTGCCGGATTGACACCTCCACCACTATATGTCTCAAGAGTTTGCTCTGTTATATGTTCTTTCATGCCCATTCTCACATTGTAAGATTGTGAATTATGTTTCTTCATTGTCTTACAATGGTTTCTACTAATGTTTTGGTTTCTTTATCTTTATTTAGAATGCTAGGCTTTGCCCTTAAAAACTTGGAACTCCTACTTTGCTAGTGAAATATTCTTTGAAAATATTTCATGTTGTAATTTGTTTAGAGTGCTGTATTATCAGGTACTTTGGGAATATTGATATTTCAGTGACATTTGCTGCATTTGTTGTGGCTATGGCATTGCTCGTGCAAAGAGGAAACCCTCGTTTTGCTCAGCTTAGCAGTACCATGTTTGGGTTATTTTATTGCGGCTACCTCCCTTGTTTCTGGGTTAAGCTCAGATGTGGTTTAGCAGCTCCTGTCTTGAATACTGGTATGAATATGGTTTCTAACACTTATCTGTTTGTAAATCTAAATGTTGGACAAATTTATTTATGAACAGTGAACATTAATATTTGTTAAGGTGTAAGTGTAGAGCTGAAAATGGCCTTTTCCCCCCAAAGCAGTAATAACTTATATACGGCTTTTGCTAAAACTTGGGTGGTTTGGTTAAGGATTTGGGAGTTTCTGATGATGCATCTCGGAACTGCTTTTATTTCCCTTATGTAATGTACTTTTCAAATCGTCGTGCCTTTTATTTCTATCGGTGTGAAACTTCATTCATCTTTATTTTCACATTTGTTTCATTTGCAGTGTGATGGTGCCCTTGTAGAAAGGGGAACAGGTTATGATTCTATGACCATTCACCAAAACTGTTTTACGAGATTCCTTTCGGCAGGAATATGAGCTGGATGGCCTTATCTTCTTGGTGGCCAAGATAATTGGACAGTAGGCCTTGTGGCAACCTTGATTTCAATCAGCAGCATAATAGCAGCAGATACATATGCCTTTTTGGGTGGAAAGGTATGTATAGTCTTGATCAAGATGATCTTGTTTCACTTATTTAAATAAATACTTTAAGATGTCCTGAATGACTGAATTCTACATTAGTTACAGCTATTTATGGCATGAGAATGATTTTTTTTTTCATTATATTTTAAGTGGACATATCATCCAATGAATGTGATTGTGTTTGTCCTCTGTTGTGATGCAGGCCATTGGCAGGACACCGCTTACCAATATAAGTCCAAAGAAGACCTGGGAAGGAGCTATTGTTTGCTTGGGTGGTTGTATAGCAACTTCTGTAGTACTGTCAAAGATTTTAAGCTGGCCAGCTTCTTTGCTAAGGTTTTCAATCTATCTCACAATTAGTAATGTACTAAAGTATATTTTGATCCAAAAATAGATCTCTCTTTCACACACAAAGGTATTCATAGTAACTTAAGAGCAATGGTATAAGTTTCCGCACAAGACACTTGTCTCAAAATCGAGAGTTGGATTATTTACTGTTGATGAATCTATTAGGTTTGAAGACGGTACAAGTTCCACTAATTATTCATCCCCCATTGGGTTACAAGTTGGTTTATTTTCGTTAATATGTAATCTGAAGGTTACATCCTTTGGTGTTCCTGCACCTTCATGCATGCATGCAGACATTTGATAGTCGGTGTGCATGTCATAATTCGAATTCCAAAGCTTTTTATATGTCTAGTCACACACGTGCATGGAATGTGAGTAATAGTGATGATCAATTGTTGATTCTTTCGAAACCAAATCTGTGGCTAGGATCACTGCAAGCATCACTTGTTATCCACTCCAGGAGTCTAATACTGGGGATTACTGGATTGCATTGTTATCTAAAAAAGACGTGGCATTATGAACTCACTACATTAACCCTAAGACTTTATATATTCTTTTCATTGTAGTGCAATAGCCTTTGGGATTCTCAACTTCTTTGGATCTGTTTTTGGTGATCTTACTGAATCAATGATCAAGAGCGATGCTGGTGTTAACTAATCCCCGGTCATGGTAATTATAGTTGCTCATGATTATTTATTCAGTTAATTTTCGATACTTTGAGGGTGAACACGAACCTTGCTTACTTTAAACAACTGAAAAAGAAGCTGCTCATTATTTGGCTGGAATAATTATTCATGGATCATATCTCCTTCCATTTTGTCATCTCTATATTAACATTGTGTTCGCACTGTCGAGCAGGCGGAATACTCGACAGAGTGGATAGTTACATATTCACAGGTGCTCGCTTACTCTTTTGTCAAAATCTTAGCGCCGCGCAAATTTTGATCAATAGCATCAGAGGGGATACAAGATTGAATTTCTTCCATGTTTATACTTACATATATATATATCGAAAATCGAGTGCAGAAGCACATTTGATGGATTCATGAAAATGCTGTTAAGAATCTGACTGAAAGAAACTGAGGGTGCAGTGGCAATTCTGTTATAGTCAAGTCGAGGAGTACATTCCATATACAAGTTATTCTCCCTAAGTTGCATGTAATAGTACTTACACAGGGCATTTAGACTTTGCTTCATCTCAAGATTCATGGTATTTACAGTGGCTGTGACTGAATGTTGTTGATTTATGGAGATTTTGCTTTCAATTATCATGCAAATTGATGCCAAACACGCTTTCCCTTTCCTTACTCCTTTTTCTTCCTAAATACATAATTATCACCTCACATTTTACATTGCCCCCGTTTAAACACAAAAGCCAGCAAACACAATTCTCCTTGAAAAAAAGAGAGAGAAGAAAATCCGATCTCCAAAGCCAAATGGGTAACTGCGACAAACTCTCCAAGTCAACGGTGGTGAACAGGGTTGTAAACAAGTCGAGCTCGTCTCGATTTGAATGCTAGTGAGTTCAAAATTATCAAATTTGATTCAAATTTAAAATTAAAAGTTGAAGCTCAATTGAAATTCGAACCTAAACACATTATATTACATTTTAAAAAATAACAACATATAAATGTTAATACTATTATAATTTAATTTAAGAAAATGAAAAAAAAATTAAATATATTATTTTTTTAAATTTCTCGTGAGTTTTTTAAATCAAATATTAAGCGTTAAGAATTTGAATAATTATAAACTTCAATTAAATTTATTATATTTAATTTGAATATTAATTAAATTTTAACAGAATCAAATTCGAATAATTTAATATCGATCTATCTCATTGAAATTCCTAGTGGTGATGAACCCATCTTGTTAAAGATACCAGCGAATGAGGATGAAGTGGCATTTATTGGTTAGCAACTTAACCGAAAAGCAGGAGAAGCGCGCCGTTGGAGCCAAACAACCGTCAACTTACTCGTATTACCGTCTTTTGTTTTCTTTGAACACAACAGCTCAGCTTCTCTGTCGGTTAGTTCATTTCTCCATCTTTCTCTTTAATTCAATCTCTAACCTTTTTTTCTTCGATCTCTTCATTTATCCCTTTTGTTTTTTGTCATCTGCTCACCAGAGGAAACACAAACATAAACAAAATATTATTGCTTTAAATTTTAATTCACCAAAACCGGGTACGTTTCATATGATGAAATTTGTTTTCTTTTTTGTTTAATTTGCGATGATCGGTCGTCTGATTTCCATCAAATTAAAAAATATCATCATTTTTATTGTTACTTTGGGTTCGTTTTCTATAAAGTCTGTCCCCATTTTTTTTCACCGTCCCCTCCCCTAGGTAGAAATTGTTCAAAAAAAAAATCTGTGTCTTTTTGTCTTAGCTAATATGTAAAAGTTAGGTATTAGTTGACTTTAGGGTGTTGCCTATTGTGCAGGGCTATCAGCAGAATGGCCAAAAGCAGCTTCAAAATTGAGCACGACTTTGGTATGTTACTGATGATCGTGTATTGGTATTAGTACTAGCATTTCTGATCGATTTTCTTGATTTCACTATTAGTGTACTTGAATCGCAGAGAAAAGGCGTGCCGAGGCTACAAGAATCAGGGAAAAGTACCCTGATAGAATTCCTGTAAGTATATATCTGTACCTTTGTCTTTCACCCTTTTTTCCTTTTCAATGTTTTGCTGATATTGAATAAATGGTTTTGATTGTTCCAGAGTTTGTCCACCCTTGGTGCATATAGTTTTGTATGCCTTTCTATTTTATTTTTTAAGCTTGGATAAGAATTTTGTGTTGCTAGGAGTTTTGGTTCCATTGTATTAAGAACAAATTATGCCTTTGGGTAAGCTGCAGACAAATATGCTCAGACTTGGTAATGTTCATCGCTCAACTTTAGATTTTGGACTGTAAATCAGGCCTTGCCCTTGCCCTTGATCGGTGAACTTAGAGTTTTTAATGCATGATCATTGTGGAAGACTTACTGATTCCGTGCTTGCTGCCTAACAATATCAATTGTGTTAATGTCGGTTATGTATTTCGTTCAATGTTCATGAGGTATGACTTGAGGATTATAAGCCATTGTTGAACATTTGCTTTGGTAGGACTTCCATTACTGTCTGGACATTGTTGCATGTATAGAGCGGATGACATGTAAACTTTGCTTTTGGCAAAACCAGTGCTAAGCTGGAGAAAATAAAAGTTTTGCACCCATTTAGGCATGGCAAGGTAGAACAGATGATTGTGAGGAAAGAGATGAATATATGTGCTCTATGCATTTCCTATTCTAGATCTTAACAAAGATTGTTGGGGTATGATTCGATCGCTTTATAAGTCTTAGGATCTCAGCCTCAGTTGGTCTGCCCCTCACTGCTAGGAAGGGGAGAGAGAAAGGAAGAACAAGGAAAGCTTGAAACTCGAGCACATGAAAGAGTGGAGTTGCGTGTGCCTTTATTCCGGAACTAATTATACAAAAGGCTTTGTATTAAAACCTTGAAAGGTTAAATGGAGTCTTCTTGAATTAGTTTACGGGTGTTCGGCATGTCATCCATGCAGTATGCAAAAGAGAAATTTGTAACTTTGTGGTTATCCTAATCTTGCTTCCATTGATATTTGCTTGTGTGCCTTTCAGGTGATTGTGGAGAAGGCAGAGAGAAGCGACATACCTACCATTGACAAGAAGAAGTAAGCAACAGTTTCATGCCAAGTTTACTGAATATGTTCTGATTTATTTTTGTTCTTTTGGGGAAAAAGAGAAAAAAATTCGTTATTACACCATTACTAGCCGGTACCAACCAAGTGTATGGCTGTTGCATATTAAACTCTTCAGATACAATTTTGGCATCCACATTTTGGAACCTTTAAGGGTACTTGAATCGACTTTATTAAATGATTTCCAGATACTTAGTTCCGGCTGACCTTACGGTGGGTCAATTTGTGTATGTGATTCGGAAAAGAATTAGACTAAGTGCTGAAAAGGCTATCTTCATTTTTGTGGACAATGTCCTCCCTCCAACAGGTACTCATTCCACTTGGAAACTTTCTTCTCTCTTTGAATAATTCCGAATGGCTTTTCAATTCCGATCGATCGACCAATTGCAGGAGCAATAATGTCAACCATCTATGATGAAAAGAAAGATGAAGATGGATTTCTGTATGTTACATACAGTGGGGAAAATACATTTGGGAGCAGCTGAGTTGATGCAGTGGCCTTATTTACATGTTAATGTTGTGCTTCAATTAAATAAGTGGCTTTACGTCTAATATTTCACCCTTTCAGCGTATAGTTTCTGTACATATAGATATTCTCAGCGGACTAAAATGTTATAGACCAATGGGAAATTTGAAATGAATTGAACAAGTGTTATATATATATATATATTGTTTATTTTTAACTTTATTAGTCAATCTGCAACATGATCTGTTGGTAAGGTTCTTAAGAGAATTGACAAATATTTTGCAAAAGTGCACATGTATTGCTTCTATTCACCTAAAATAGCCGGGGAGGCAACGGAGGATGAGGCTTTCGAGGCTGCTTCTCGTTATCAAGACAAGACACTAAGCCTTTTTAAATTTATTAGTCATGGAGTAACTACTTGGACAGCAAGAAGTTCAAATCTCGAGACATGAATGTTTGCTTTTGTAATTTCAACACCAATTCATCGAACTTTAACAAAGCTTAAAAAGGCGTCGCCTGGAGTTTCAGACCAGTGGGATCATTGACACCTGCCGTTGACTGTGCTGGAGCTGGACCATCCATGATTTCTGGGAATGGAATGAATTACATGTTATGACTTGTATTTTGGGGTGTAAATGAATCTAACTTGAACGAACAAAATTATATTCGTACTTGGAACAAATTTATATTTGTATTTGTTTGTTTATCTTTTAAAATTCGCATTCGTTTATTTATTTTTGTTCACAGACATGTGCTTTTAGCATTCGTGAATATGTTCATGTAAAATTTGTTTAATGTTTGATGGTTGGCATTATGTTTGTTTTTTTTACTTGCAAGCCAAAAAAAATAATGAAATTAAGTCAATTTTTAATATAGTCTCTATCTTTATTAATATTTAAAATGTAAAGAAATAAAAGGAGAAACATATATGAGAAAATGAGCTTATAAATAAGTCTATAAACGAGTTTGTTCGTGAATATAAATAGATCGCACACACCTTTGTTTATGTTCATTTGTTTGTTAAATGAACATAAAATTTTGGTTATACTCGTTTATTTAACTTAATAAACGAACACAACAGAACATTATACGAACAATTCGTCAAACACTCTATTCATTTACACTCCTACTGATATTGATGTTTGCAAAAATATATGTTCTTTTTTAAAGTCGTTAATTTAAAAAAAATTCCCAATTTTGGATTCTACGTTACTTTTCTCAGCTGCTCATGTATATAAATTTCCCTGTTGAGGAGTCAATTGATGGGAATTTGGTGAAAAAGGAGATGAGCCTATCTCATCTCCGCATCTTACCTCTTCTCATCAATACATCTGCATATTCTGAAACAGATCCTCTTCAACCTTCATTTGATTCTCTTACTACATTCACTCTACTTGTTACACTGCAAACAAGTTTCATCATTCCTTCTAATTTACCCTATCATGTCAATCACTCCTTGTTTTCTTCTTTTTCTTCTATTTCTTACTCTGCATGCATCTACTGCTCGTCGCCTCCGTAAAGTTTACACTGAGAACACGCTTGATAAGAAGTTTCACCTCTCCGTCAAGGTTGGTTCAAGGAATCAAGACTCATTCCTCACTAGCATCTACATTTAATACATCACTTGCTACATATATATTTTTGTTTAATTTTGCAGGGTGATACGAAAACCGGCTTCAGAAGGATCGCAGTTGCAGTACCAGAGGCGAAATCTCATGCAAAAGGTGACGATGGTGATGTGGATCACAAGTCAAAAGTTTCAGTTTCATGGCGGGTGCCGCATGAGAAACGTGCCGGAGAACATCCTGCTTTTAACCTGGATTACTCACCTCCAAAGACACACCCTCCTTCTCACTACTGAGAGATCACATATCACTAATATTATATACAGAGCTTGGTCGATCAAAAACAAATGAATTACAACGATTATAGGCGATTTACCTTTCTAATTTGGCATAACAAAACTCAAACTCATAGCCTTAGATCCCAAAATGTTCATCTTTGGAGCATAGCCGCTGGAAAGTTACATTTTGACTATGATGTGGGTACGTAACAATGAGTTATACAAGCCCTTCTTTCCATCAATGTGCCTCAGACATATATATACAAATATTTCTGCTTAATTAATTTCCTCATACAATGATTATATAGTATCCTCTTCATATTATTGTTCTCCCTTTTGTTAACCATGTGTGTGCCTAGACTAAGACAATATTTCAATAGCTTATTGATGAAAGTAAAATTGAAGGCACCTCTCTTATATGCAAAAACATCGATAATAAAATTAATTTGTTTACTACATGTGATAAATTTATTGATACATATGTGTCACATTTAATTGTTGTATTTTCATTTTTTATAAATAAAAGAAAATTATTAACGTCATGTTTTGAAAATTTTAATGGTGAACAATCACGAACCAAAGGAACAACATGAAAAGGGCTACTGCTAAATGACCTTAATGGATTCTCGACTTTCTTCAACCACGACGACACATCAATGCTAGGATAAATATTAAAATGGTTAACTACTTCAAACACCGCTCACTTTTAAGCTTCGATTCGAAAATGTCACATACATTTATGTTTCATTGTAATTATGCCACCTCGTCATTAATGACTTAAGGGCACGATGACATGACATCTCTGCGTCATGACGTTGCTGTCGTGGCTCCCTCCCCAAAACGACGTCATTTTGACGTAATTGTCTTGATGCTTAAAAGAACCCAAAACGACGTCATTTTGTTAGAATCCTTAGATGAAAAATTGCTTTCTATGAGATTTGAAACTATGTCCTTTGGAAATAAATACTAAACACCGGACCACCAACCTAAGTTAATAATCTGATATATTTTTAACAAATATGTTAAATTCCAGCTGTATACTTCTTCTCCACTCTCTTCTTCTTCAGTGTTTTCAACAAGGCGACTGCCACAAACATTCTTCATTGCCAACTACCAAACAGGATAGCATGACTTTGAGCGTCTCTTTGAGAACAGTCAAGAGAATTCAAGCAAAAATTTTTATCAAAATTCCCAACAATCCATTCCACAAATATCTCTTCCTTTTTCAAACCAATTCATTGAATTTGAACCTTCAAAGCTCGAAATTTTAAGTCGAATTTGCTACTTTACTGCAGACTTCTCACCTGTTAATTTGACAAAAGTCCTCACCCAGACCTTAACCATTACAATGGTTTGCTCTTCGACTACTCTCGCAATAACAATAACAAGGAAACTCTAAATCTCTTTTTGGGTATTCATCGTTTTGGTTTGCTAGTTGATGGATCCACTTTATCCTGTGTTTTAAAGGTATGCGGATGCTTGTTTAATGTGATACCTGGAAGACAAGTTTATTGTCAATGTTTGAAACTTGGGTTACTTGAGGATGTCCGTGTAGGGACTTATATTTTAGATACGTATATGAGGACAGAGAATGTTAAAGTGGTAGGAGAGTTTTTGATCATTTAGGGGAAAGAAATATGGTTTATTGGACTTCATTGCTTGGTGGTTATGCTCAGAATGGAATGAATGAGCAAGTTTTCAAATTGTTCTTGCAATGCAAATGGAAGGCATAAAACCCAATCCATATATCTTTGGAACTGTTATTCGAGCTTTGAATGGTTTTAATTGTGACCCTAAGATCGAAATCGTGCTTATGGGAGCTTACAGTAAGTGCAGTGAAAACGTTAGAGAAGAAGTAAACAACTACAATTTAAGATATATATTAAATTTGTTAAGAATATATCAGGTTATTAATTTAGCTTGGGTGGTTGGGTGTTTAATATTTATTGTTGAATGATACAGGTTCAAATCTCATTGAAAGCAATTTATCTTCAAATGATTTTAACAAAGCGACGTCGTTTTGGGTTTTTAAAGCATCACAATAATTGTGTAGAAAATACGTTGTTTTGGAGATGAAGACACGCCAGCAATGTCACGGCACGAAAATGCCATGTTATCGTACCGTTACGCCGACATTATAACATATTTGTAGTGAAACATAAACGTCAGTGATAAAATTGACAAAATTAAAAACGTCAATGATATTTTTTAATCCAAACTTAAAAGTAAGTGGTATTTAAAGTAATTAATCCACAATAAAATGGGCAGTGATCTTACCATGCAGCTGTATTGGATGAGTGGTAGAGGACGTTGGCGCATCCTGTGAAGGAGTGCTACCCGCTCCACTGCTTTCTGCCACACTAAAATTATCGACACTATAAAATAATTTTTAAATTTATTAGAATCTATTATTATTTTATAATATACAGTGATTATTTTATAACAGTGATAAATTTAATAATTATTTTATAAATTTTAATATAATTCAGTAATTATTTATGTTTTTTATATTAAATATAATGTATGTGCTCAATCCCAAATGAACTTCGTTGTTGTCGGAGGTGGATGCATTAAGTCCCGTGGGGGACAAGTGTATCTCACTATTTTGAAAAAATAGTAAAATTTAGCTTACTATGTAAGGAAAAAAGAAAAAAGAAATAAAAAATTTATATACTTATTATTTGTAAGAAAAAATATTAAAATTTTAAATCTCATTCTTAAATTTTTAAATCTGCTACTTGCTGTTCAACGACGTGAGTTTTAACCCTCAACACTAGAAAGAGCCATAAGTCGGGAAAGACCTATGTGCTTATTTGCAAATCAATTTGGACAACTAAAGATAGGTTTCTTAAGAAAAGCAAAAGCTAATTTTTTTATTAATCTGGAGTAAGTACAAGATAGTATATGTTCAAAGATAACTCTCAACTTTTTAACATTGAATAATCATACCCCTGACATCTATAGTGCTCGAACTCATGAACTCAAGGAATAACAACAATTCTTTTATCGCGAAAGTCATTTGATTAGGTATTAGTAAACTCATTTAATCTAATGATCAATTAATTTACAGATTCCACGGAAAATTATTATATGGATAACTCAATTTATTATATTCGTAATATTATTTTTAATCTATGATATTGCTTAAAAGATCTAATGTCTCATCCCATTAGATCAATTAATTGTTCATGACTGATTCTAATCAAACATTTGGATTCTTAATGTTCATTTGGGATTGCCTTTCTAAGAACTCAAATGTTGAGAAAACTAAACAGTAGCCTAAAGAAAACGATGAAAAGGCCAAGTTTTGGTTTTACTAAATTACTACGGTTGCATCATGCAGCTTCATCGCTGCCTTCCCATTGCACAAAACCCAATTCTGAGTACTCCGATGAGACTACACTTTGCGCACTATTACTACCTGCACCCTACAAAATATAGCAATGTACTGCAAATCTATAACTAATGAAATTTCATGTCATTCTTCCCTATTTTGTTTTTAAGTTTTCTCATACTTTGTTTAGTTTAGAGGTTCCCCCCCCCCCAAAATTAAAAAAAATAGACTTTGTTGAGAGTATACTCTTTTATACTCTTTGTCGAGAGTTTCTCATATTTTGTTTGGAGGTTAGTAAAATAGGTTATTTTTTTAATTCCACCCTATACTTTAGATAAAATATTATTTTGATCTCTAAATTTTAGATGAAATATCATTTTAACATATAAATCTTATCAAAGAGCCAAACAGTTTGGTGCCGCTCACCACCGTCGTCCGTCACTATCCATCGCCATCGGGCGTTGATGATGGATGAACCCTAAAATTTATAATTCAATATTTTTTGGCATGCTGAACGTGAATTCAATATTTATTTCATCATATAATGTTTCAAACTCTATAAATCTAGCATATCACCCTCGTCTTCCGTTAAAATTAAATATATTCTTTTAAAATAAGGAGAAAATTTAAATCTATACCATAATGAAATTGACAATTTTTTAGTGACAATATATATTCTTTTAACCAAAAAATACTACAAAATTAAGGATAAATCGAAAAAGATGGGAAAAAGTGAAATTTTATGACAATTAGATTTAAAAGTTTAAAGTGTATTAATTAGTTCAATTGAAATAATCGATTGTTAGTTATATATATTCACTGTTTAAAGGAGAAATACACATCCAATCAATTGAATTAATCGATTGTTAGTTTTAGTAAAGGCAACGAAACCAAAGGAAAAGAAAGAGACAACAAATGAAAATTGAAAGATAAAAGTAGGATTAAGTTTTGAGCATTTGAAGCACTTTTATGGGCTAACATTCAGAAGCACAAAAGCCTTCATCTTCATGAGAGTTGTTCGTAGCTACGTTGTCTCTTCACAAAAACATCAAAACCCGTCCGCATAACCACTACTAGCATAATCTACGAAACCCAAACTTTCAGACAGTCTTATAAAGACAAACATATCATGAAAGTAATAAATAAAATACCCTATCAAGGAAAAACCCTAGCAGTAGTTTTCACTTGTTTGGTAAGGGGCGAACCCATGTTGTTTGCAGCAAAGAACCCATCTTTCATCACCACTTCCTCCGCTTCCTACATGCACAACATTTGAAAGAGATTAATGCCCAAACTCCAAAGCAATTTGAACAAAACTTTAAAAAGAAAAAGAAGAATAAATAAAGTTAGAGCTTAGGGTTTGAAAACACCTGTTTGTGTACGTTTGTTTTCTTCACGGGTTGATCAGCCATAAGTCCGAAATGTATGTCTGGGAAGTGGGCCCACTGAAAAAACATTAAATATTATTAATATATGGATAACATTAATCAGTAACGAGTAAAACTCAACTAAATTAAAAAAAATAATTTTTTTTTGATTAAACTCGACTTGTAATTTTATAAAATTGACTCAATTTTTTTTTAAATTATAGTCGATTTGTAAAATAGAACTCGATTAACTCAAAATTTTTAATAATTAGTTAATTGATTGTTATGTTTAAATTAAGTACTTCATCTCTACATGACATAAAAATTGTAAATGAATATATATATATTAGAATCAAATCGTACAATAACCTTATAAATATTCACAATTAAATTTAAACATAATCTCAAACAACTCAATTCGGTTAGACGCGAATTTCATAAACTCGGTTAGACGCGAATTTCATAAACTCGACTAGGCTTAAAAAATTAAATAAAGTTTGAGTTATAAAATATGTCTAGTCAACTTAACAAATTCCAAATCTTTTGACTGGAATAGACTCAAAAAATTTTCTAATAAAATTCAGGTTATAAAACTTAACTCTTCGTCTAAACTAAAAGAATTTTTTTTGACTAGATCAAACCCCCTGGTAGTAGTACAACCTAGATTGTCAAAGGACTTAATTTGAAATAAATAATATAATAAAAGAAATGTTGAAGAGAATAATGGAATCTTGGATCTTACATTCTTCGCAGCGGCACTGAAGGCCTCTCTATGACTTATATCAGGATTCCCAGCTTTGATGCGTTGAATTTCGTCCCTGCACAGATGATTTGATTTGATATTGTTCCAGTTCTAATCACTTTGGTTTGGTTAATATTAAATCAAAATAATCAAGATTAACCAGGCATTACTTGATGAAGCGGTTGTAGGCGGATGGGACTCGCTGTCTCTTCTCCGGAGCTGGACATAATAACAGACAAACAATGAGACATGTTACATTCAAATCACCTCGCTGACTCTTTTTGGTAACCTTCTGTCATTCATTCCCTCTCTCTTCATCATCACCTCATCATCATCTCTCACACAGTTACAGATCTATCTGTCTATCTTTTGCATGGATTCTTCTATTTCCATTTCTCTTTCTTAATCAATTTAAGCCATAAACACGGACAAACAGTGATAGGTAGTAATGTCTTGAACGCTAGGGTTTGATGAAAACGTTGAAGATAATGAACTTTGTCAAGATTTGCCTTGAATGCGTATAGCCCTAGGGCTTTTCTATAACAGCTAAGAGCATAGGGTTCTTGACCAAGAAGTTTTGACTTGTCAAAAAAAAAAAAAAGATAGACCCAAATCGATTTGAGTGGCTAAGCTTCTAAATTTCTTGCCACTGAAAAGGGAGATGAAAAGCATAGTCATTAAATGTTGAAGAATCTCACGTCTGTTGACCGCCGGAGGCTTGGGAATATCTTCAGCTCCACCATGAACAGCAGGCATAATAGATTCATTAATCTGGTTTGGTTGGTTGATCACCATATTCGGTGTTGCACTGCTTCGAATCTCCTCCTGCCATGTACATATAGTAAAATAGTAAATCATGTTAAAGCCTAATTTGTGGAGAAATGAAGATATATGCATGTATACCAAGAGACTTTGAGGAGTGAAGAAAGAATGGCCAAGGTGAAGCTGATTAGCCGCAGGAAGAAGCAAGCCAAGCATGTTGACGGACAGAAGATTGGTGCAGTGGCCACATCGAACCGTGACCGTCTTGAACAAGCTGGTGCAAGGAACACTCACCTGAGAAAAATTGTAAAACAACTAACTAAAACATGAATAAAAAATCAAGGGAAAAGGGTTTGGGAAAGGAAAAAGAAAGGGACAGAAAACGATACAGCGAGAACAGTGTCACAAAAGTTGCAATGGACGTAACAGAGCTGCTCGGAGGGAGAGAGGTGGTCCGGTGAAAAAGAAGCTGAAGAAGACGACATCGTTTTGTTAATCTTCTTTTCTCTGATGATGAAGATTTCGATCCGATATTGATTGATAGATGGATGGATAGATTGAGTTACAAAGATGAAGATGGAGGAAAAGATGCTACTGATATACTAGGAGATGTAACAGAGCCAGAAAGTGTTTTTCAAAAGTTTCTCATTTGTACATGGTTTTGTAGTTTCAGCAGTAATTTGAACAGGTTATGGATATAGATATTAAACAGGATCCGATCCGGTAGGCAAAAATTAAAATAAAAGAGGAAATGATAATAATTATAATAAAGGGGGTTTAGGTTAAAAGGGAAGAGAGAAAAATGAATGGTTGGCATTCCCAATGGATGTGTTTTAGTGTTAGAGAAGAAAGGGACGTGTGCATGCATGGTAGTGAATAGCTTTGGCTCATTCACCTGTTGTTTACACAGTTAAGATTAAAGACACCTCGGTTCTCTACAATTCCATGGGTGCCTTCAGCTAGCCCTTCCACAAACAATTTATCATCCCTATTTTTTGTTCAAATAAAGTAAATATGATTCTTTTTTTTTCTTCTTCTTAAAATGCGTTCCATTCAATGACTTAAAACATTATAACTGAAAGGATATAAAATCTCATTCAAAATAAACATCCATTATTAGGGTGAGCATTCGATCGAGTCGAGTCAAATAAAAAAATTTCGAGTTGACATGTCCTATTTTACAACTCGGATTTGACTTGAAATTTTTTCGAGTCAAGTCGATTTTTCGAGTTTATGTTTAAATTTAATTGTAAATATTTATAATATTATTTAATTTTAATTTATGTTACTTTCTATAACCATATATACAATACAAATATATTTTTTTCATATTTTTCCATACGTAATATAAATATATCATACAAAGGCCAATGTCTCGACTCAAAATTGAAAATAAATCGACTAATTACTAAAATTTTTGAGTTGTTCGAGTTATTCAAGTTGCATTTTACAACTCAATTTGAACTTGACATTTTTTTTAGTAAAGTCGAGTTTATGAAATTATAACTCGAAGTCAATTTGAGTCAAATTTTGTTTACCCCTATCCATTATAATACAAATCAATAAAATAGTATGAATAATTAACTACAAATCAAATTATATTGAACAGACGGTTAATCATAGCATATAATAACACAAAGGATGTAATCATATCATGTGTAAATCTAACAATTATTCTCACTAAATAATATCGACTATATAATTTAATTCATAGAATTTGTCAAAAATATATATGTTCATCTTGAAAAAACTTTTTTTTTTAAAAAAACTTACAATCATTATATTCATCAAGTTAGATATATTGGAGACGGGTTACTGAATTGTGAGTTGTGTATGATGCTTTACAACATGCAAGGAACTTAGGATGCATGGAAATTATAGTGGAGACGGATTACTTAGAAGTGGTTGAATTACTTTGTTCTAACAAAGAAACACCGATGTATACATTGGTGGTTTTTTTGTAGTTAGTTGCGTCTTGAGTGGGAAGTACGCATTAAGCACATAGGACCTTTGAGTAATGAAGTAGCTGACTGTCTGACACGTTTGAGGGGTGGGGCTCCGATTGGGGAGATGATATTTCTAGTACCACCATCTTGTTTAGTTGAAATATTGCTGCAAATAGATCAATTACCCATAACTAAATCAAGACATTGGAATTCATTACATACCGGGTCCTATCATGGTACCTTTTGTTCTCTTGATAGATTTATGATGAAATATGTGTTGAATAAGTACATGGATGGTACCAGGGCCTTGACTTAATAGCAAGGTTGAAGTTTTGGGATCTTAAATGTTCCGTTCAAATCACATTACATGAATGTTATGTGTAGGTTCTTAATTCAAAATTTATTTTAATTTAAGTTTTATCATATATAAGTTTTTTTAATATATATATTTTTTAACCTTTCGGTTCCTAATGTTTTGCCTTGACTAATTCAGACTAATACAGGTCGCACACTTAGTTTTGGTGTGTGACTTTTTTAGCAGAGATTTTCTGTATGTACAAAGACTCAAACTTGAGACTTACTTAAGAAATATCAAACTCCTCACCACTTGAATCAACATCGTTAGTTTTTTTTTTATTGTGAATCTCGATTATAATCGGATATATATTATATTGTATTATGAAACGGATAAGAAACATTACTGTTGATACTGATGCCAAGTCTAGTTAAGAGTTAAATCAAATAGTTGCTAAGGCATCGAATATATAAACTACAGTAAGTACAAGAGAAAACAATGTGACAATTTTGACAGTTTAACTGTCATTCACATTGCCATCCAACTTAACTTGCATCACTACATTATCACCTTCGAAATCTGTCTTTTCATCACTATGGTCGTTCAAAATTTTCTCCTCTGGTTTTCATCAATATACATATATATTACTTGCCAAATTGCCTATAATTCTGACAATGTTTCTTGGTTCCACTCCAATATGTCTTGAATATGATTCTTCAAATCATTCTTCAGTCTGTCTTAGATATGTATTGACTAAACATTGATTCATCTCCTCCGATCCCTTAAATGTAAATGGGACAAATAGTTTATAGTTTGGTGAGCTGGTCGGTCAGAGCAAGCCAGCTGCCATATAAGGGAGCACGTAATAGCTAGACCACACTTGCTTTGCGCCTGGAAACGAATCATAGCCAAATTATTATTATAATAACAAAGGTAAACTACGTATTTAATCACCCATCTATTCCTACAGTTCTTTTTTGGTCACTTAACTATTTTTTTTTCTCAAAACCATACATAATATCACATTTTGATTATGTTTTGGTCACCTACCATGAAAAAATAAACAGAACTGCTGATGTATCATCATAAGGTATTGCCATTCCCATCACTGAAAAAAAATAAAAAAAAAGTTATCACCTCAGAAATTTTGTTTATTTAATGGCATGTGACCAAAATGGAACTACGAAAATAGGTGGGTGACTAAATATGCAGTTTACCCCAAATAATAATATTACAGAATCAGACGAAAAAAGTATTTGCAGCAAGAAGCTTTTGAAATATGGATTTGACCACTCGAGCTATCTTCATGTACAAAGAGATAAGTAGTTGTCAGAGTAACTGCACCAGACAGAGATCCCCCTTTAATCGATTTTTACTTTAATTTCTCCTCGCATTGCATAGCATTGATCGGGACATTTTTTCCCTGTTGGCTTTCGGCTTCACTTTTTGTTGGCAATATGTTGCAAAAGTAACCCTAACTTTGCTGAAAAAGATGGTGTGCCCTTTGAAGTAAAATTTTCAAGTCATTTTGGTAAAAAAGAAAAGAAAAGGAAAAGAACCACCGTGGGTCCTGTATATAAATGCCATTGGAGCATCGTTGGCATGCAAATCAGGCAGAAGCAGGTTCTGTTGGGACTTTAAGTCATGCATGCCTTACGAACCAATCAGCTCTTTAATTTATTGTGGCTTAATTTAAGATAAGAAGCATAGTTGTGTTAGAAAAATGACAGAATTGTAGCTCAAAACCCATTTCTCTTTTTGTGACTAAAAATATGTATTGAAGTAAAATAATAAAAATAAATAATAAATTAGACAACAAATTTTCGTCACACCAAAACTTAAATCGGGAAAAATCATAGTACGATAATTCAGTGCAAGCTGTGCATGAATTTAAATTACGATTGTGATTATATTTTTGATTTTGTTGCATTTATCGCGAATACAAATATAATTGATGTTATTCTCGTCATTGTATCATGGTCGTGTATTTTTTTTTAAAAAAATTCGCACGACTTATTGTAAAACATAATAGTTTTAATTGTTGCACTTGATTGATAGAGTTTTTTTAAATTAATTTTACTGTAACATAACAATAACAAAAATAATATGTCGTTATTGTCTGCTACTTGTTAAATTGCACACAATTCAACACTATTGGTGTGATTCAGCTTCATATCATTATTTTTCACAATAACGATTTTGGAAAACACCACTACTATTATATAGTGGTCGCTATTCTACTATTAATCCACTATTTAAATCCCTAGTCCAATGCTAACTTGCCTTCCACCGTCAAGCAAGGTAACAAAAGACATCTTGTCCATTATGAATAATTTACAAATTCTCTCAATAAATTGCAACAATAGTGTCGACTCTCTCTTTTCTTATCTCCCACAAAAAGAAATATTATCTCTTACACTTGAATTGTAGATAAATCCGTCGTACATGAATTAACCTAAAAAAATACATGAATATAGGTTGATAAATCTATTAAACATATGATACATCTACTTAAATCACCCATCAAGGAAAAATAAACATTTACATACATGCGTTATATTTGAGACACAGGTGTAGAGATGTCGACATTCTTGTTTATTCTAATTGTGGGACAGTAGGACTCAAGACTCGTACCGTATAAATGAGAGTATCCTACCCAGGAGATCTTCACCATCCTTCCACTTAATTGTCAGAGACTAATGGCCACTTGCTTGTAAACTACTTTTAAGCGTTTGGTGTTGGACATATGTAGGTGGTTTTAATGCCCTTATGATCTTAACATTATTTCTCATTCAATTCGAATGTTGATGCCGTGACAGACAGTACTCCCCCTGCCATTAATTTACCCGAAACCCAATTTAAATGCTAGGCAAATCCTACAAGCGGTCAAATTTTCTCGTAATCTATACTTTTCCAATCAACGTTACCTATTTGTTTAATTGTCCCCACCCGATCAAGTAAGACGATGACAAAAACTTCCTATCAAATATTTTAAGTTTATGCACATATGATATACCAAGTTCTAAAACTTTTAAAAAAATTAATATAATTTTTTATTTAATTTAGTTTATATACTTCAAAATTTTATTAATTTATAATTTACTAACTATACATGGGAAGGTGGTAAGGCATTCGAACGCTTTCATGGTGGATTTGTCTCATATATATATGCATTCTTCGAGAACATTCAAGTGATAGCTACCTGTCGAAACTTTATAACCCAAAAAAGATCAGAAAAAAAATGTTGAGAGACTTGTTGACTATACTGCTTGCGTTAAGGAGAGGAATAGTTAAAAATGGAAGAAGAGGAAGATTAGCTTCCAGTTGGAGAATTTTGTTCACGTCTATGATGTAAAAGCTAGTCTTTCATGTCGTCCTGAAATAGGTTTGCCAAGATATGCATGTTGGAAAGAAATATAATTATAATAAGCATGGAAGTGAGCTAAAAAATTTACCTGAAAACGACTAGAGAACTGTTGGCTGCTGCTAGTCTTCCTCGCTGGATATTTGGGGGTCGACCCCTACATGCAAATTGCAAAGTATAGCAATCATTCATAAACATTCTAACCCACTTTCCTTTCCTTTTCTTTGGAACGCCAATACGCTTTATAACATGCAATATTTATATTCTCAGATCTCTTAGCACACAATATATTAAACACCTACAATTCTTTCTCTTTAAAAATTAGCTGACCTATTCCCATATATAATGGGGTAGTAGGCTGTCCACAACGCTTGATTCTTCGGTCGAGGTTCTCAACAATCTAAAGGTATATTATTCTTAGGGTATTTTACTCTGTGTTCTTTTATTCTTGATATTTTATTTCTTAATCTTTAACAAGATTTTATGAATGTCTCGATTGAAGAGAACATACCCTTAAATTATGTCATATTTACTATTATTCAACTATTATGTCATATTTACTATTATTCAACTCAGATGTTAAATAATTGTGTTTCACTCTAATTAATTTAAATGAATCATCACGGGAACCTAATTGAAAAGTCTAAACACTTAAAATATCAAAATAACAAAAATGAAAATCTCAACTTTATGAAGAATGTCTTCAAGGTGATAGAATCCGCACCTTAAGGGGGCGTTTGGTTCACGAAAAAGATCATTACTAATTAATAACTTATTATCAATAGTAGTATTTTTGGGTTAAAATTGTGATAATGTCATTACCTCCAAATTCTTAGGTAATGAACAATTCTCACTACTTAGAACATAAATACCCCTGAAATAATAATTTTTCCATATGGATCATTCTCAATTCTTATTCTTCGTGCTTTATTCAAAATTATAAACTTAATAATAATATACAAAGATATTAATTTAATGAAATATAAATAAATTTGAGTACTTAAAATTATTTTATATTTTTAATATTTAATATATTAATTATTTTATAAATTTATGAGGTGAAAATATTATTATTGTAAATATGTAGTTATTTAAAATAATATTTAATTTTGAGTTATTAAAAAATAGATCCTATATATTAAAAAATAATATATTTGTCACCTCGAGATCACAATATTATTTTTCATATTATATTATAATTTATATAAATAAATATGATACTTCTAAAAATTATTTAAAATTATAATTTTGATATACTAATTATATTAATTATATGTTACTTTTTTCTTTAAACTTAGATATTATAATAATTAAAATATTTTTACTAGTTTTCATTCAAATATTTATAATTTAATATTAAAGTTTTACTTGTTAAATATATATATATATGATAAGGAAAATTTGAAAAATATGCATCCAAGTAATATTATATTTCTCCAACCAAACATTGTAATCTTACATCCTGTTAAGCAAACCAAACAGGGTAATACAACATTCTTAGAGTAATGTTATATTTTGACAATCTTATTTTCAAAGGTAATCTTACATTCCGTGAACCAAACGTACCCTAAGGGTTAAAGATGATTCCAAATCACCCTTATAGAGATTTTATGTAAGAAAACAACAAACTCATAAAATATTTTAGAGACGAACTTATAAAATTTTAAGAATGTAAAAATAAACTATTAATAAAAAGTAATCTAAATTATATACGAATTTAAAATTTTCATACAAAAAAAATCCCTACAACACTATCCTTGGACCACAGAAAATCCTCCAACAAGTATTAATCAATGCAAATGCCAATGGGAAACTCTTTATCTGTGATTTTGTATTGTGGCCTGGTAGGAGGGAGTGGGTAGGGCTTAGATATTAAAAAAAATGAACGAATGAATAGTAATATATATTGCATCCATCTCTTGGCATTGAGAATAGCATAGTAGGCAGTAGAGTGAACAGTTTCACTGACAAAACACAGCATGTAGATGTAGTACGTACTGGAACTGCACAGTGTACAACATCTCAGACCGCAGTAGGCCCCACCCCCCCCCAAAAAAAAAAACCAAATTCAGGTTTAAATTTAAGAACCAAGACAAATATTGGGTTAAAATAAGGTAAAAGTTATAAAAGAAAAAAAAAACAGCATCGGATCATGTTTTTATATGAGATTGTCCCTTCTGCTACCTCCCCACTGTGTTGATAACAATGGATCGAGCCCAAAAAATGCATTCTCGGGAATTAAACAACCAATGCCCTTTGCTGCAAGGCACAGGTAAAAGATCCTTGGATCATACCCTGAGTGTGGCATCTATTCATGACTTTAGGGTGGGCTGCACACCACCCATAAATCTGAATTTTTTTAGACTAGTCATTTATTTTATTGACAGTATTTATTCTTAAATTTTATTATGTCTACCTTAAAATTTAAATTTTATTCGATTAGTCACATGTTTTATTGATGATTCCCATCCTAAAATTTTATTTATGCTCAACCTTTCAAATTTTTTATTTGTTAATAGATATGTGCCTACCCTCAAAATTATTTATAGATATGAGATTGAGATTTTGACCCAACATGGGATAACCCCACAAGCTACCCACCACTCCTTCACTACACCAAGCCTGTGAATTGGACCAATGCAACAAATCTGCACATTAAACAAATGAGATTTTTCGAGGTAATGGCGCCAAACAGAAGCTACCAAAACCACAAACATAACACAATGCGATCTGTTCTATCAAATTATAAACCAAAAATCTCTTAGCAGAAGACAGTAGCTTTTAACATTTTTGTATTATTAATATAAATCTCTAGCTACTACTTTGATAGCCAATAGATGATAAGGAACAACGTACACGCAGCTATTACTGCTGACAGAATAAGAGTGTCCCTCGAACGCCTCCTTCTGATGGAACCTAGAAAATAGAGGCATTTTAATTAATTATAACAAAAGATGGTATATAGAATAAAAGCTCAGTAATGAAGATGCGTCGTGACGTACCGAGCGAACCACGGATAACAGGGAACTTGTCACCTAGAACTTTAACTTTCCCTTGAACATCTCCAAACAAAGCTCTTTGAGAGCCCAACACTGCTCTTGTCGTTTGAGCTTGATTAATCACATCATCTATCTATAGAAATCAATCATACAGCTTAGAAAATTGGAACTTAAATAATCCCTTGACAAATAGGGAAGAAAAACTAACCACCAATAGTAATACAAGCTACTCTGTAACAGTAGCAAGGCATTGAAGACAGCAATATATATATATACGTAGCGAAGCTAACGGTTAGTCTAAAGTTTATTCTGCATGTCACCTCAATCTCATCCATTAAAATTGGAGTAAAGTACCTAAATGACCTGTGCGCATAGCTAGTGAAGAAAAAAGATGTATGAGCAAAGAAGGATGCTAGTTTGAGTCTTTATGCAAACATGCAGAAGTTTTTGTTTTTGCATAAGGAAGATGTAACATAAAATTCTCATCAGCATATCTGTTCACAACCAATTTTGGACTTCAACTGAATTCACCGTCCACCATTGCACCAAATCTTTCTCTTTTGGACAAATAATTAGAACTTGGTTCACACTATAAAATCTACAGCCTCACTGCTGGTATGAATAAGATCACATCATTTCCCAACAATGAATAACTTGTGTACAATAACAGCAACAAGAAGATTCAACTTTAATGAGACACAAGTCACTTCCACGGTGTTTGAATTTTAAACCAGATCCTTCAATTGCAAGAAAGCAATCAAGGATGCATCTTGCGATGATGATCAAGTGGTAATTGGGCATACATCATTAAGCAACCAAAATCTGATGGAACACCTTCTAGCTGTAGAAATTCTTGTTGTAGACAAACTTGGAAATATGGCCTTGTTATTAAGGCTTATATATTTTAAACTTGCATTATTTGTAAGGGGTCGATTCTTAAGGCTTATATATTTTAAACTTGCATTATTTGTAAGGGATCGATTCTAGGTTCATGTATATCATATAAAAAATGGTTTTTGTCAAAGCATTGTGTTGGCTTTTAGTAATATAGATTTGAATTTTGAGACTAGACCATGGATATATGACAATGGTGATTTCAACTACTAAGTTTTTTTGGGTTCTACATGCCAGAAACTTGCTTTAGGTTTTTGATCAACAGGTTCACCTGTTTGTTCTGTTTATAACGTGTATGATTTCGCATATATAATCCAAAACCATTAAACAATTGCAAAATAGAACACGTTGCAGTAGAAAACAGAAGGGGAAGGTCTTTCAACAAAGCATGTACCATGATAAACACTGATAAAATAATATTTATATCTTACATGAGTAATGCTTCCGTGGATGGCAGCTCTTTCTCTCAGTAATTGCATTCTTGGTGACATACTCCCTGATGTCTGCATGGTGGCAAATAGGTAAAATTTGGGAAACTACATAGTATTGGCAATGGGAGTGAAAAAGCCAAGAAATTAAATCATATGACTACCTTATACTCATTAATATCATCTCTGACCGAACTCAGAAGCTCTGCATGTTCTCTGCTAAAGCTCTTAAAAGGGCCTGCATCATATTAGAATGCCTTGATTGAAAATTGAAAAAATCTTTCATCTCTCTTACATGTTTAGGTTCAACCTTATTATCTCTCTAATGTGTTGTACAAGGTGCCATTTTATAAATCCTTGTTCCTTTCAGGTGACAACCACCATTGGTTATGGATCTCCGAACAAGGAAAACTCATATAGTGTACATGGGAGTGCATTGGTGCCAAGGAAGTTGATGCTACCGGGAAAAACCTTGGATGGCTATATGAGCCTTTCCATATTCCTGAAGACATTAAAGGGTAAGGAGACCAGTTAAGGTAACTATATATGCATCTGATTATGTTTTTTTGGTTTTGTGTTCAAAACTTTCCTTCCATTTTCTGCAGGCACTGGAGTCGTCATACTCCTCAGGGTGCTGCTCTTGAAGCTGAATGGAATGCCAAGTTTGCTGAATATGAGAAGAAGTACAAAGAGGAAGCTGCAGAACTCAAGGCAATCATCACTGGTGAACTACCAGCTGGATGGGATAAGGCACTTCCAGTTAGTAGTCTTTACTATCCTTGCTGAAAAGGATCTGGCACCTAATTCTCAGATAATCTCTTTCAATAGACTAATACAGTCGGATTACATTGGAATGAAAAACTATATTTTGAGCCCTTTTGTGTTTACATTTTTTAGACATAAACTCCGGAGAGCCCAGCTGACGCTACCAGAAATCTCTCTCAACAAAATCTCAATGCTCTTGTAAAAGTACTCCCTGGTCTTCTTGGTGGAAGTGCTGACCTTGCTTCTTCAAACATGACCTTGCGCAAAATGTACGGTGATTTCCAGAAGGACACCCCTGAGGAGCGCAATGTTAGGTTTGATGTTAGGGAACATGGAATGGGAGCCACCTGCAATGGCATTGCCCTTCACAACCCAGGCTTCATTCTTTACTGTGCTACGTTCTTTTTCTTCACCGACTGTATGAGAGCTGCCATTAGGATTTCTGCCTTGTGTGAAGCAGGAGTTATCTATGTTATGACCCATGATTCCATTAGTCTTGGGGAAGATGGACCCACCCACCAGCCCATTGAGCACTTGGCAAGCTTCCGTGCGATGCCTAACTTTTTGATGCTTCGTCCAGCTGATGGAAATGAAACAGCGGGTGCATATAAGGTTGCTGTTCTGAACAGGAAGAGACCCTATATTCTTGCCCTCTCCAGGCAAAAGCTGCCCAACCTTCCTGGAACTTCCATTGAGGGAGTTGAAAAGGGTGGCTACATTGTTTCAGACAATTCTCCTGGCAACAATCCCAATGTAATTCTGATTGGAACTGGTTCTGAGTTGGAGATTGCTGCTAAAGCTGCCGATGAACTAAGGAAGGAAGGCAAGACTGTTAAGGTTGTCTCCCTTGTTTCGTGGGAGCTTTTTTGATGAGCAATCTGATGCCTACGAGGAAAGTGTTTTGCCATCATCCGTATCAACTGGGGTTAATATCGAGGCTGGATCAACTTTTGGGTGGCAGAAGATTGTCGGATCCGAGGGGAAGGCAATTGGAATTAACCGGTTCGGAGCCAGTGCACCAGCAGACAAAATATACAAGGAATTCGGTTTAGCTCCAGAGGCTGTTGTTGCAGCAGCGAAAGAACTTATCTAAGCTTGTTTGGTAACTCTCCGGGGAATATTGTGGTTTTGGGTTGAAGATTGAAACTTAAGAGAGGGAGGCCATTCCAATTGTGACAGTCTCGTTTGTTTTTTAATAAGAATCAGGATCCACTTATTTTCTATCGCTCGTTATTCATCAAAAAGCAAAAAAATAGAGCGAAAGGGAGAGTAGAGCTTCTGTATGATTATGAATCTGTAACTTCCTCTTGGACTTTTTCCCAGAGTTTTGCAGTACTTATTGCTTCTAAGTTAGCTTGCCCATTTCTTTTCATTTTATGTGATAAATTTGAGTTCTCTACTATTGCAATCTAGCTTATATAATCAAGAACCCGAAATCATTATTTTTATCAAATATGCTTGGCCTAAGATGCATGACCAGTTTGTATCATTTTGCCTTCATAAATGCTTTTCTATCCTTGGTTTGAAATGGTGGTTGAAAATAGAAATTGGTGGATATAATCCTGCCAAGAGAAGGATAGCTTTCATTTCATTAAATTGAATGGGATTCAGAAATGGTTTTCAGCCATTCAAAAAAAAAAAAAAGCCAGAATCTGATGAGAAACTTGTGTGGGGATCCACTAGGGAAGAAGGCAAGGTCTTGAGCTCTCGGTAAGTTATGGTTGCTGTAGATCATGTCTTTGATCCACTATCCTAATTGTCTTTTACTTGCAAAAGTTCTTTGACAAGCATTTTGCTAGAGAAAGGTTTTTAATGTAACCGTTTTTTCAATTTCAAAAAGGAGAAAAATCTCAGTTCACTGGTATGGAATTTGAGCTTCAGTGGAACATGTTTGATTTGGACATGAAGGTATCTTCAGCATATTACACCAGCATGCTCTTTCATCAGCAGACCACATTACACTACAGCAATAATGTTTCTATGAAAATATCTAAGCACCCAAAGAATCATTACGGCATCTTTCTATGAATTTTTTAGTTCAAAACTAAATCATTACTTTATGATTGGTTACTCCTTGATTAGATAATTTTAGTTGCTAACTTGGGCCTTTTCAATACACTACAACAATAATGTTTCTATTGATTAGTGTTTAAATTATACATTATTTTATGATTAATTACTCTTTGATTAGATAAGTTTAGTTGCTAACTTGGGCCTTTCCATTCATTTTCGATGCAGAACATTAAATTCCAGAATTTATGCTAAAAACAACAAAATCGTGCAATTTTTTATTTTTCTGGATTCATGGCCGGATTAGTGGGCACGACTTGGGACATGACACACCCGACATGAAATCTAGTCAGCGACTGATGTGGTAGATGACGTGGCAGGTGACATGGTGATAATGTGGCAGATGACGTGGCAGGTGACATGGTTATAACGTGGCAGATGACATGGTGATAACATGGCAGGTGATGTGGCACCAAAGTCAACAACTTCTAGAAGCCCAGTTAGTAGTTTCTAGAAGATCCAATCAGCAATGGGGTGGAGAAGGAGATTTAGCCGAATTTTTAATTTTAAATTAGCATTTATCTTATTTTTTTTTAGGAGTTATCTTTTGTGTTGAATATTATTTTCTAGGGTTTTTGAGGACTATAAATACTCTATCACTCGAGCATTCAATCATTTTCAAACTCTCTTGTTTCTTTCTTTCTTTAGATTTATTCTTGTTTCTTTCTTTCTTTAGATTTATAAAAGTTATTCTTTTCTTTTAGTTTAATTTCAAGTTACTTTTTTTTTTCTTTCAAAATGCTAAGTATGGTTTCTACCATGCTTAGCTAAGTTTTCTATAGCCAAGGGCTAAAGCAATGAATCGATTCTAAGTCGTAAGAATCGAAAAGCGCTTCATAACCCTCAAGGGTTACATTTTCAGTTTTTGGAAATCAAGGATCGATAATCGACCTTCCTTTTATAATTAAGACGATTTCATTTCAAAAGTGTACGTTAGAATTGAATTTCGGTTTCGATTAACAATTGGGAGGAAGGATCGACCTGTGGCACATTCGACTTCCTATGAACACACTTAGCAGCGGTCTGCTAAGGGAAAATGAAATTGGGTCAGATTCTCAATTGAGATGATAGAACTTGAGTCGGGTTTTTCCAGATTTTGAAAGTATTGAATTGATAAGTGTTTGACGCTATTGACTTACAAAGAACCAATATCTAAAGATAAATTTTGGATTCTCGATTCATTAGAGAGAAAAACAAGTTGTTAATCATATTTTTTTCATTAGATAAGTTAGGCCCTATAGATTGTAACATGCGTGAGCCCGAAGGTAAAATCCTATTCGATGATCGATTTAAATAGAAGCAAAAGCTTTAGCCCAAGGCTGATTTCTACCGATTGAATTTTACCATTTTATTTTATTTCAATTAATTCTATCACTTTGTTTCAATTCTCCAAAATCTTCCTCTAATTTCTTATACAAATCACGCCTGAAGCCAGATCAAAAGCGAGGAAATCGTCAAACTCTTAGTCCCTGTGGATCGACTCTTACTCTTACTATTCTACTTATTCTTATTCTTGGATTAAAGCTATTTATTTTGACATCATAACCCGTGTCAACTATCTTCTTTCTTTCACTAATCAAATAATAATAATAAAAAGTTCTAATCATATATAAGGATGATGAAGGCACTAAACCAAATTTAAAAACATAAATATACTCTAAATCACACCTAGATTAATCCTAAGGCTTAAACTCTCTCAAAACTCTTCCTTTATTCATATTTCGAGAAACCAATGATATTAATCTCATTTTGAAACTTATGGATTTTTAGGAATGTTTCTTACCTTCCTTAACATGGAATCTTTCCAACACAATATCAATATAATTTTTTTAGCTTCAAGGGAGAAGAAGAAGAAGACAAATAAGAGAATGAAAGGACAAATAATGGGCGAAAAGGTCCTATTGCTCCCCTTAGGTCAGCCTCATTTCCCCCACTGGTTTATTTATACTATTAGTCCTCATTTGACTTCTACACAAGATATTTCTTTTCTTATGTCCAAATGGGCCCAATTCACACTCTATTTGGCGTAATTTGTCCCAAGAGTCGATTCTTCGGGCCATTACATTTGCGTGACATATTCTTGCATCGTCTGATTTCCTTTCTCAACAGCCTGAAGCTTGTAGTTGAGGTGCATGACCCTGCTTGTGGATTTTGAGGAGAAGATTTGCATAAGTTTGACCCAGATAGCAGATTTTGTACCGAAGCCACATACATCTTCACTCTAGTTGGATAAGAGAGAGGAAGCAAGGGAACAATCTTACTTCACATATTTTAGATATTTCATGCTTTTAGCAGGATTACCTTGGTCATGACTTTTCAATGTGAGAAGGACTTGTTTCAAGATTAAAGAAGTGAAAGGTTCCAATCGAAAATCAATCTTCTTGTCAGAGTAGGATTTATTATTTCATGGAGTTAATTGCACCATATGTCCTCAAAGTATGACCTTTATTTTAAATTGGTCCCTAAACTTTTAAATATTTTAATTTTATCCATAAACTATGATTATCATTCTAAATTAGTCCTCAAACTTTTGAACATTTCAATTTCATCCCCAAACAATGACCTTCATTCTAAATTGCCCCCAAACTCTTTGAGCATTCCATTTTTATCCCAAACTATACGTATATACTAATCAAATTCCTTGTTAATAAAATCGTTAGGCCAAGTTATACTATTATATGTTTGAAAAAAAACAAAATTTAGGTCAAACTATGATTGAAATTAATTATATATTTGGATGAATTTGGGAATAAAATTGGAAGATTCAAAAGTTTGAGGACTAATTTAAAAAGTGGGTCATAGTTTAGGGATGAAATTAGAATTTTCAAAATTTTAACGACATTTAGAACGAGAGTCATAGTTTGGGTATGAAATCAGAATATTCAAATGTTTAAGGACCAATTTAAAAGGAATGTTATAGTTTGAGGACATATATTGCAATTAATTATTATTTCATGTCTCATTGACCGAAAATTACATGATTAGTTACTTTAAAAAACTAAATTAACAAAATTAAAATCACAAGCCACAACCATGAATATTGATGAAAGAAATAAAATAATATTAAGAATATTTTTAATTAAGTAATATAATTTAGGGTAAATTAGATCAGATGTCATCGAACTTTAGGTATTGTATTGTTTATACAATTAAACTTTCAATTTGTTCAATTATAACACCGAACTCTAATTTTCATTTCAATCATACCAATGGGATTTAAATCGTTAACGACAAGATGAGGTGGCTGACGGCTGCTGATATAAACACATCACCAAAACGACGTCGTGTTGATCCAATTGTTAATGATTTAACGACCCAATGGTATCATTGAAACAAAAATCAAAGTTTAATGCTATATTGATAAAATTAAAAGTTAAATGGTATAAACGATACAACGCTTAGAGTTCGGTGGTATTGGTGTAGTTTTCACTATAATTTAATTCAAATGTGCAACATCCACACATCAAATATATATATATATATATATGAGGTGACCTTACATAATTTATTAATGTATCATATCTTTTTTTTCAAGTTATTAAAATATTTTTTTGATTATATAGTCTAATTTAATTTACATGTGCACCGTCCACACAACAAATTAAATATTTGGAGTTTATCCTAATTCATGAAAGGTGGACTTTTTTGCTCATGGGATGCCTTCAAAGTTCAGACATCAAAGACATCACAGTCAAACAGTGGCGGATTCACTCATTGTTTAGGGTGCGCCACTATAAATAAAAATTGTTTTATTGCTGAAAAATGTGGTAATGAAAAATATGATAATGAAGTCACAACTGCCAAATGATATTAAATATAAATATCAGATGCCATCGAACTTTAGGTATTGTATAGTTTATACCATTAAACTTTCAATTTTATCAATTATAACATTAAACTCTAATTTTCATTTCAATCATACCAATGGGATTTAAATCGTTAACGACAAGATGATGTGGCTGACGGCTGTTGATATAGACACTTCACCAAAACGACGTCGTGTTGATCCAATTGTTAATGATTTAACGACCCAGTGGTATCATTGAAACAAAAATCAAAGTTCAATGCTATGATTGATAAAATTAAAAGTTAAATGATATAAATGATACAACGCTTAGAGCTTGGTGGTATCGGTGTAGTTTTCACTATGATTTAATTCAAATGTGCAACATCCACACATCAATATATATATATATATATATATATGAGGTGACCTTACATAATTTATTAATGTATCATATATTTTTTCAAGTTATTAAAAATATTTTTTTGATATATAGTCTAATTTAATTTACATGTACACCGTCCACACAACAAATTAAATATTTGGAGTTTATCCTAATTCATGAAAGGTAGAAGACTTTGCTAATGGATGCCTTAAAAGTTCAGACATCAAAGTTATCACAGTCAAACAGTGGCGGATTCACTCATTTTTAGGGTCCGCCACTATAAATAAAAATTGTTTTATTGCTGAAAAAGGTGGTAATGAAAAATATGATAATGAAGTCACAACTTCCAAATGATATTAAAATAAATATTTTAGATTAAAATCATCCAAATAATTGAATATTGAAAATGAAATATCTCCTGGATATTTTTAATTTAGGAGCCCTTTAACTATTAGCTTTTATATAAAGATTCAAACAAAGGAGGTGTGTGCAAGAGATGGAAGAAGATAAAGGAACTGTGTGTGTGACTGGAGGTACTGGGTTCATAGCTTCGTGGCTGATCAAGAGGCTTCTTCAAGAGGGTTACTCTGTGCGTACCACTGTTAGACCTGATCCTGGTAAACTTGATCTTCGTTTAAGGCTCTAATGAACCTTAAGTTTCTTTGTTTCTTTGCTGATTTCTGAGAACTATATGTTTAGTTGTGTTATATTTCCAACTATTTGAGCAGAAAACAAAAGAGACCTTTGTTTCCTCACCAGTCTGCCGGGGGCAGCCGAGAAGCTCAAGATATTCAGTGCAGATCTTAGTGATCCCCACAGTTTCGATGCGGCCATCGAGGGGAGCAAAGGAGTGTTCCATGTCGCCACTCCGGTCGATTTCGGAAACGAAGAACCGGAAGAAACCGTAACGGAAAGGGCGATCAGCGGAGCACTAGGCATCTTGAAATCATGCTTAAAATCGAAAACAGTGAAGAGAGTTGTCTATACTTCTAGTGCATCCGCTGTTGTTTTCAACGGCCAGGATCTGGACATGTTGGATGAGAGTTTCTGGTCTGATGTGGATTTCATTAGAGGAATATTACACCCTAGCACACGTTCTTACATGATTTCCAAGACTTTGACAGAAAGGGCAGCGCTTGAATTTGGTGCACAACATGGATTGGACGTGGTGTCTGTGATTCCTAGTTTTGTTGTTGGTCCTTTCATATGCCCCAAGTTCCCTGGTTCAGTGCGGTCAGCATTGGCTCTCGTCTTAGGTACAATACAAAGCAAAACCGTTATATTTATGTTTTGTTAAGAGTAGAGGGTGATTACAAGATAATATATGTTTAGAATATTTCTTAACATTGACAACATATACTCAAGTTTTATAGATAATAAAGTTTCAATAACATAAGTGAAGAGCGGTAAGACGGTGAAGATGAATTATTTGTGCAGGAGAGCAGCATGGATATAGTGCCCTTCTAAACACACCCATGGTGCACGTTGATGACGTGGCAAGGGCACACATCTTCCTGTTTGAATATCCTGATGCAAAGGGGAGGTACAACTGTTCTTCATACAGGATGAGTCTTCAGGAGATGTCTGAATTTCTTTGTGCCAAATACCCAGAATTCCCTATTCCGACACCAGAGTGAGTGAACCTCCGTCCCTATTCTCAAACAATTCCAACTTATTATAGTAAAAACAATCATGGGCTAACAGCAAAATTTTCCCCAACTTGTTCTTGCTTTAACAGATCCTTAGCAGAAATCAAAGGTCAGAAGTATCCTGGCTTGTCATCAAAGAAGCTGTTGGATACAGGTTTCAAATTTAACTATGGGGTGGAGGAAATGTTTGATGATGCTATCAACTGCTGCAAGGAAAAAGGATTTCTCTAGTTCAAATATAAAAATTGTGTTAATTTGAATCTAAATAAGCTTGAAAACCACAATCAAATGTATGTTTGTAGGGGCTCTTTTTTCCCCCTTCTACAAAATGATTATGTTATGCTATGCAGGCTGCAGCTAAATGTTCTAACTGATCTATTTTATTGAAGAATTAGAAAAGGGGTCATAAACAAAACAAGTAAACGTTCATTCTTAATTTCTGAAGCTTTTGTTCATGGTGGGTTTTCATTGTATTTGTTTTTTGGGTTGAAGTAGAGTAGTTTCCAAGGTGAAGCTATGGTTTTTTTTTTTTCTGAAAAAAAATCACACAATTCATTTTTCAAATTTCACTACCTTTTCTCTTTGCATTTAATTTTAGAGTAAATTTCTCTGTTCCTGTAGGTTACAGTCTGCTACTTCTCATTTTTCTGCTTATATATGTATATATATATAGGTTGATGCATTTTTCTTCTATATATGGTTCAACAAGTGGATGTTTATTTTGCCTTGAAGGTTTTTTTTTTTATTCCTTGCTGAAGATGTTTTGATCTTACACTATTCTATTGTGCAGTGTAGTTGAAAAACCAGAGCAGAATCAAAAGAACTAATTTTTTCTGATGTTTAATTTTGTATTTGTTAATGAAATGATGACATGTATCATCATTGTATTGGTTGAGAATTATTAAAAAAATAATATAATTACTTTAAAAAAATTAATTTTTGCTGATGTCGCATTTGTCATGTCATCACCTTTGCATATGTGGCACTGTCACGTCAACTATTCAAGCTTGTCATGTCATCTATATGTCTTAATTATTAGTTGATTAATGATTCTCATCCAACGAAAATATTTTTTTGATTTAAAATAAAATATTAAAAAATCAAATATTCTAAAAAACAATAAGGGTAAATTCGATAATACTGTTAAATGTTAAAGAATATTTTATTACATAATACCATTACAAAATAAAAATATGAGCAGCCTAATGGGTCAATTAAATATATTGTGTGACCTATTGGGCAAATTTTCATATAGTTTGAAATGTGAATACTGGCTCTCGAACCTTGGACTTAGCACAAGAGCACGACAAACCAGCAAGCCGCTTCAAGAGCCGGTTATTTTACCCTTCGAATTTGGGTCTGATTATGTCTTATCAGCCATTAGTTAAACCATACACGAGTTGGATCTTATCTGCCAACATAACATAAAACACTATTAGGTAATAACACTGCTGCTTTTTAACGAGTATTAGATGTCAGTGTCAACTTTTGATCTAAGTTAAAAAAATATTGAGGTAACGAGTTTTATTCTATAATTTAAATTTTATTTGATATTTTTTTAATAGAATTAAGGTTATAAAATTAAAATTAATTTGAATTATTTGAGTTTAAGTTTAAATTATAAATCAAATTATTTTGAATAAAATTTATTCAAATCAAGTTAAATAAAAAAATATTGTCATGTCGAGTTCATCAAAATTCAGACTTGGAAAATAATCTGTAGAGGGAAAGGGGTTAGACTATTTTTACAAGTATTTGTGTTCGTGGAGTTGCAAAAATGTCAGATAGAAGCTGAACAAAGCATAGATAAAAAAAAAAAAGGATTCTGGGAAAATTCCCTCTCCTCTGCTTCATCTTCTCCATATGAATCCCCAAAAAACCGAAGTCCATCTCTTCCCTCACCGCAATGATCTTGACCCACCGCCTCCCCAGATCCTCCATTCCCAACCTGACCCACCCTTTTCACTCCCCGAAATCTTCCTCTTCCGCTCCTCTTCCTCCGCCGACTCCCTCTCTGCTTCCGATTCAGACAACCACGACGACGCCACTACTATCCCGCCTCCTTCCTCCGCCACCCTATCAACTACGAATCAGCCCATGGGCTGCATTAATCCCGAGCCTCACATCTCCTCTCAGTTCTACACCTTCAACGCCGACTCCCATTCCCTCATGATCCGCTGCATCACCGAACAGCGTTTAGCCACTCCAGCTGAGATCCGTGCCGCCACGCCCCGCTCCGTCCTCAAATCGTGGCGCGCCGTTTGGAAGGACCGCAACGAGGACACTGCTTACCTCACCGCTTGGAAGCGGATCCAAGACAAGCTCATCTCGCATGTGGACGCTAGTTCCGGTAACGGATTCCTTTGCTTCAAAAACAATTCTAATCAACTCGTTTCCCATGTGAGTCAATGGCAAGAAATCATTATGAATTTCCATTGCGACGCCGATTTGAAACATTTAGGGCTTAAAGAAACAATTGAGAGAATCAAGCAAGTGTGGACTGTGGGTGCTAAGTTCTATGGAATTCCCGAGAGTTACATTAGGGTTTGTGTTGCGGATTGCCATGTATGCAATGCTTCCTCCGGGTCTTCTTCTAAGAGTAAACGGCGCCGTTTTGAGTACACGGAGTCTTTAGACGTGCCTGCAAAGGAGGTCCCTCATAAGCTGCAGCAACTGGCTGTAAAGCACAAGGTTGTGCTCTGTATCAGGCAGAAATATATTAGGTATAAACCTTTTATGGCCGAGGTTAAGGATTATGCTTGTCATAGAGCTGGGAAGCCTGCAGCTAAGAAGTCGAGGATTTTGAAGAGGGAACCATATGCATCCAAGAGATGTGGGTGTGGATTTAGAATTAGGGCTATAGTGCCAATTTCCAATTATAATGAGAAAGATAAGACATTTGTATATCAAGAAGAAGGGATGGCAGTATTTAAGTTGTATGCAGTGCATTCTGGGCATGAGCCAGGGCCTCTGGATGGAAATGCAAGGATCATGCACCGTGTTGTTGGGCATAAGGGAGGGGTTTTGATGGATCAAGATATGGTTTATGGGGCAAGTGAGTATTTTGATAGTGAGGGGTTTGGATTGGCTGGAAAGGAAGGAGGAGAGTTGCGGCTAGCTGTTTTGCAGCAGGTGCAAGAGCTGAGAGCTGAAATTGGGTTGTTGGAGGGGAAATTTGATAATATTCCTCATCAGTTGTTGGGTTTGGTATCTAGGGATTTGTTTGATGTTTTGAGTAAAGTTAGAAGTATAGGAGAAGGAAGTCAAAAGTCAGTTGGATTACTTTCTGACAAACCTCATTCAGATGACATGTTGGTAGGGGAGAATGATTTAGCTCACTGGAGTGACCACCACCATGATAGGTTATGCGGAGATGGCAAGGATGGGGAATTGATTGAAGATGATGAAGACAGTTTTGGAAGGACACTTGGTGATGTTGTTCCTTGGGACCAAATGAGGGCAGATTGTAGTAGGAGTGAGAAAGATCTGATAAGTGTGCCCTGTAAGACAGATAAGTGGTTGAAATGTAGTGATTTTGATGAGAAGAGCATTCTTGGCTGTGAGGATACTAAACTAACCAAGTCCATAAGACATGATGATGGTATAGTGACAGATGTAGGTCTTGTTGGCATTCAGGTTGATGGTTTCTACCATGAAAATCCTAAATGGTATGATTCGCCATGTGGTTTAGATTCCAGTACAGACTGTGGTGACAGTGGATTTCAACATGGGGAGATTGTGTAGAATCCTCAAGAGCTAGGTTTAATCTACTCTAACATGATCATGAATATATATTGTTCCCTTCATCCCTTCTCCCCGCTGGAACTGGATTGTAGATTTATGTATACTGAAAATTGGAGCTTATTATCACATGCTTTAGGTGTCTTTGTTGTGTGTGATTTCTGTAAATTATAGCCACTTGGGCTAATCTGCACATACCTTATTTATATTTGTTAACCATGTTGACATACTTGATTTTTAGTCTGGTTCTCTTAAATGGGCGCCAGTGACTGTTTTCTTGCCCTTTGTTTTGGTTTCTTTATATTAATAATTGTACGATATGTCCAATCTTTCCTGTCTGGCTCTCATTATGACATGAAGGTGCCTTGTATTATTGGTTTGATCAAGCTGGTGTTTGTAATGATTCCCCTTGTATTATTGGTCAAATGTTCTGGATGGTTTCTTTGGGCTTTTTAATTTATTCTTTATGTTCCTTTTTATCCTACCCGCATTTGTGTGTTTTCTAGGTTCATCATGCATTCGGTCGTTCATTTTTGCTGTGCCATTGCTTGGAGAGCTTGAGATGAAGTTCAATCAAGGAACTTTATTCAACTAAGCCAGTAGGTATTACCTTGTTCTTTTCTCAGTGTGTGGTTATTTCTTATCATCATTAATGTTTTTTTCTTTACATTGCTCTACTGTTGCATGACTATTTTTATATTTTTCGTTTACTTCACATTGATAATTTGATATGAGGAACCTAATAGTTGGTTAGTCCAGCTTGCTAGTGTATTAATATCATGACTTCAGTATTCTTACTCTCCTCAAAGTCGGTCCTCAAATCCTTTTGTTTTAAAAGACTAATTATATAGTTTTTTTGTTTTTAAATTTTCAAGTATACGTTTAGAGGAAAATTCTGGCTACTCTTTCAGATTGTCCTCTGCTACATCGTTGTACTGGATGAGTCTGTAGGGATCCTTCTTATCAAAAAAAAGTCTGTAGGGATCCCAATATATACTTTTTTAATTTTCAAATATAAATTTTGGAGGAAAGTTCAGGCTTATTTTTATGTCGCCCTCTGATACATGGTTCTATTCAATGAGCCAGTGTAGGAATTACGATTAATCTTTTCTTAATGCTTATTGTTTCCCAATTTGTAACCATTAAGTTATTTCTGGTGTCTGCTTTTTAAAATGTTCAAGACTTACTTGCATCCCAATGTCTGTCGTCTGCATGGATTTCAGGGTATATTCAAGATTGTGTCTGTAGGGATCCCGATAAATCCTTTTTTAATTTTCAAATATAAATTTTGGGAGAAAGTTCTGGCTTCTTTTTATGTTGCCATCTGATACATGGTTTTGTACTCAATGACTCAGTGTAGGAATTACAATAAATCTTTTTTTTTTAGTTCTTTTTTGTTTCTCAATTTGTTACCGTGTTAAGTTCTTTCCTGGTGTCTGCATGGGTTTTATGGCGTATTCAAGATCGTGTCTCTTTTGATGAATTATAATTTACTGTTCTGTCCCCCTCCTCTCTTCTCTTTAGTAATAATATAATGATTGGTGGTTGCTTCTCATGATATAGTTTTACTGTTACTTGTAACAAAATGTCAAGATCAAGGGCATTCCAACTTATCCCCGAGTATGAGAGGAAATAAACCAGGATTTGACCTGCTTATATATGAGTTTATAGTTGATCTGTACTTGTGTCTCTTATCGTACCTTTTGAATGGTATGGTAATACTTCTCCAGGGTTAAACTTTTACATGCAAGAATGATTACCAATCTTGGCATATGGTTGAATGCTTAAAATTTGACATTTTTAGATTGAAAGTAACAAAATAATATATAAAATGAGTCACATGGACAGTTTATAATTGGTGGGTTTGTATTGCTGTCAAATACATATTGCCAACCCGATTTGATAAATACATGTCGGTTCAGGTTGAAATTTATCCTAAAGATGAGTAATTGCACATTTTCTTTCTTTCTTTGTTATCTTCCAGCTAAATTGAGCCTTTACTGTATGAATATTTGGTTTTATGCCAAAGGTGTCCACTGTTGCTAATTTTCTTAATGGTTTTGTGCACAGAAACAATTTAAATTTACCAGAAATTTATATCTTTTAAGATGTGTGGTTGTCAAAGTGAGTGAATTGCCCAATGTAGTAGATATGATGCTTTATTCTGTAATTGCTTAAAATAAGCTAAATATAATGAAAGGAAAAGAAATTGGTCACGTAAAGCTTAAAATATTGATTTCAGTTCTAGTTATACTCCTGTGTAGAAAGTTAGGGAAGCCTAAAGTTATTGACCAAACGAAAATATAGTATTTAGTTAGGTCTACTGTTTTGTGTTGAAGCTTTTGAATGAACCATATTTAAAACTAAATTCATTCAACTTTATTTCTAATAATGTGGTATCATTTGGTGCGTAGAATTATACCATGTCACATATTAACCCTTTTGTAATACCCAATTGTAACAGATGGATTGAAGAAGAGAGAATACTGACAGGTAGTTTCTTCCCCTTGTGGTCATGTTTGCCTATGTTGAGAAATGTCAATCTTTGCTGCAGGATCCATCATCCTGTATGAAATGTATTTGTTACCGCATCTCTGGAGTTGGACTTAATTACTTCTTCCTACACTATTTTGGTTGCATTCTCTCCTTTCATCGAGGTAAACAGCAATTTTAGTCAGGAATGGATGCACGGAATCTAGTTTTCATTTTCCAAAAAGTTGGAGATCTCGGACACTGTAAAATCGAGGGCCTGTTTGCATGCTGCATAACTAGGGGCGGTAATTTAACTCGAAATAGATGGATTCTGAATTGATCCGATTTAATAAGGTAATTTTTTTAGTTAGATTGGTTGGATCAAACTCAGGTAGAGGAAATATGCTATTCGGTTTAGGTTTGGGTGAAGGTATTTATTTTTCGGGTCAAGTTGACCAAATACCCAACCTGTTGCCATCTCTATTCATAACCCACAGATTACTTGTATCTTATAACATGAATATTGCATGCGCGACTTGAAATAACTTGTTAAAATAGGTAACATTCCTGAGCCTATGGGATTCTCAAAAAGTTATAAAACAGGAGTCATCTGCCGGCATTGGATCGGAATCATGGTAAAAAAGGGTACGATTTCATTAGACACTAGAACAAAAGTGCTAATCTGGGACAACATAAAAAAAGGTTATGCCGAAGCCAAGGATCAAAAGTTCTATAGCTAGTATTGGAAGGTGGAATCAAACTCTCTGAAGATATACGGGGACAAACTCCCTGGCCAACGCTTGAAACTCTTGGTTTTCCATTTCTTGAACACAAGTGGGAAATTCGAGAGCTCCATGGAGGTGTGTTGTGTTTCTGAACCAATTTCAGATGCTTGATGAAGATGAGGCGTCGTTGGAGAAGGGCAGAGGGCTTCTGATTGCGGCAACAAAGGCACACGTCGCAGAGTAGAAATATGGGCCTGAATGTGCGCCAACTCTGCTTGTAAATTTACCACCTACGGATAATCGTTGCGTTGCATAAAATTAGAGTTGTATTTATTAACCCAATACCACGAGTTACACATACACCGAGAGAGACCAAGGCTGCCGACAGTGGAAACGGTTTGAAATTAACATAATGCAATACTAAATAAAAGTTTCTCAGCAAAACAGCAGGCATAACCGAGTCAAAATGAACCTTATTATATAATGTAAAACATTTAATATACAATAAAAGAAATTAAAAAGTTTTTACGTTAGCATTTCGATTCAAAACTTCTCTTTAAATGGTATCCCCCCTCGCTTATTAAATCAACTCTTTGTATCATATCTCTTAAAACATTAAAGCGTGGAAATTAATGAATAAAAAAATATTAATTTAATGGTTAAATTGTGAAATAAGTAAATTGTTGCAAAGATTGTATCTCTTCAGACTTCAGAGAATTCAAGAATTAGCTTAATTTTTCCATCCAACTACTTCTAAAAATAAATATTCAACAATATGCCATTCTCTCTAGTCTTTTATCCCACAATAAGTTACTGTATTATTATACATACATATATATAAATAAGGAGTATTGGTGAAGGAAGTTGACTATGCATGATGCTACACATGGTAGGACCCATAAACTTTAATGCAAGAGAAATTCAAGCTAATAAAGATAATAATTTCGTAAGGGGAAAATAAACCTTATAGTTACTTCATAGGCGCTACTTAAGATGACTCCATTTTACACTGTACAAACATGTATTAAAATAAAAATGGCAAGACAAAGCACCAACAAAGTCAAACCTAGACTATTTGAATATTCTCGACTTTGTATACTTTCTTGCTGGCTCCGGCAAGCAACCAGACCACTTAGCCATTCACTTGGCTCTCTGTTAACCGTAGTTAATATTAGGACTTTTGTGATATTTCACTTGGAAAAAAAACTATAGTAGAGTAAACAATACCTTGGGTTGGGTAATAAAATATACATGCTCGTTAAACTTAACGTTTAAGTATCACAAAAACCAAGATAATGGTACTCAGGCAAGGGCTTTTACGGGGAAACTTCAGATTTTAAGTATTGGGTTATAGACATTTCTTAGGTGTTCAATAAGTTACAAATGCATCAACCTTGACTAATTACATTGTTTGCTTATACAATAATATTGTATTCAGCTGCCCTGCCTAAGTTTTACCGAATGAGCTACACCACCATCCAAGACACACCTTTGCATTAACGCTTGAAATCCTTAATTTTATACTAATTTAGCCCGAGATACGAAAGAGCTGGTTTTATAGGACTAAATTGTGGTTGTAGCTGTGGTGTCACAGTTTCTGATGGTGTAGACGTTACGACTTAATTCACTTATTAAAAGATATTATGATTTTATATTGTGGATGCGGTTGAGGTACCACATTGACTTAGAAAATATTACCATAATTTAACCGGTTTCTTATGCCAAATATGGGTATAAGATTTTACTCAACTTTATATTAATTTAGTTTTGTGGCGCATGCATGCCTGCATGATTCAATGGAACTCTCAAGCCAAAAAGAGAAAAATGAAAATGGAAGAGAAACTACAAAACACTAAGATCTAATGCTAAAAGCAGAAAGATTTTCATCATCTCTAATGAAGTTATCAAATTTCCCCAGAGAAATAATTGGATAAAGAAAAGGGAAAAAAAGAGAGGAGAGAATTGCAGGGGTGACCTGTTGTTGGAGGGTAAAGATATGGCCGACGCTTCCGTAAACGGGGTCTCGAACCCTAGCCAAAGCCTCATAACAGAGTGTAACTACCGCATCTAGGCGCTTGTCATCCGGTATTCCCTGCAGCATCTTGGAAGCATTGCTGGCACCGAAAACCTTGTGCACCGCCGCAAAGTGAGCCGCGCCTTGGTCTGAGCTAAAATACGGTGCAAATATGCACCCTTTCACGCACTTTCTCCGAAGGAATTTGCAGGCGCCGCGCCTTCGTTATTCGCTGCACTCATCATCGTCTCTCTCAGCTTAGGGCCGATCTCTAATCTCTTGCTTTCTTTGCAGATATTATCTATGTTTTCCAGAAGTATAAGATAAACTAAGAGCGATATATCATATCATATATGAGTCTTCTCATAGAGTTGAAAAACGTTGAAAGCTCAAAAATATGCATAGAGAAAAGACCGGGACATCCATCCCTTATATACATAGATTTCCTTTGTATGTGATGAAATATACATATATTATACAATATTAATATTAAATAAATACAAGATATTTTCCATGGTTTTTCCTTGATTTCAGGAAAGAGTTTATATTTGTACATGCATAATATATCAAACTCATATAAACTGAATGGATGACACTTTTTTCTTAAGATTTATTGCCATCTATTTGTTAATTCAATCAAGATGTAAATGTTATAAATATTTGGAGTTGATATGTAATTATATGGAAGAATTTATATTCAATAAAGATGAAAGATTGTACTAATTAATGTAGGTATAATCTCACTTTATCTCATCTTTGAGATTTATTTTCCATAGAAAGTAAGATGGACTTGGTATATAGTAACCATATTTAGCTTCAAAGTTCTTTATTAGCAGTATGGAAAATATTAAGCTACTTGCGTGAAGCAAGCATATAGACATACATCACATGAGGTGAGTAATCGACACGTGGGACAAACATCTCTTCTGTGGATCACCCTTCTATTTCAGTCCAACGTACAGATCTCTTAGTAGCTTATGCTTGTTCGCACTTGGTAGCAAAGGGTTTAGGATTTAGAAAAGTCCACAGTCCAAATATCTATAACTTTTTTTCAGTCGAAGCCCAAAGAAACTTTGAAATCAACGTTTTCTTAGATGTTTATTTATATAGCCCTTGAATAGTAGACAAGAAAACTGTTAATCACCTATCGTAATCATATGCTTTTTATGTAAAAATATCAATGTTGAGCTGATAAATGATGAACATCGTTTTAACAAACAATCTAAGTTCCTGGGTTTATACTAAAAAATGTTTGATGGCGTGGAAATCGAAGGAGGGGGATGGGGAAATATGGAGATTTAACGTGTCCATTCCGCCACTAATTACACGTCTTGGGCAGCTAATCAAACTTTCAGTCTAGGCGACTATCTCAGTAAGATCCAAAGCTTTTATCATTTTTATCTTCTATTCGCCATTTTTCAACTTTCATCTTATTTTCTCGTTTAATTATTCATCTTAGAACTTTAAATATTAGTCTTCAGGACCAGTGCAAATCAAACGGTGATCCAGACCTACAATGAAACGACGTATCGGAACTGTACAACGGACGACGCTTTGGACACCGATACCTTCCAATACAACGGCGGCAACTCAGACTTTGACCAAGCAATGACCATCGAGGGTGCAAACTACTACTTCGCCGACGGTGACGATGGTGTCCAATGCCAGCACGAGATGGAATTCGAGATCCTCGTCCGTCACGGCATTGGGTTGCTTCCCAGCCTCAACCAGCCTCCTCCTCCTCCTCCTCCTCCCTACGTCGAGGCTCCTAGTGACCCAGCTCAGTCTCCTCCAGTCACGATTAACGGTGGGACACCGTCGTTGAATAACAACGCCGCGACCGGCGGCACTGACACAGGAGCGATACTGTATTCGGTTTTTTTTGGTGTTACAAGTTTGATGATAGCTTTCATGCGCTAAAGTGATTAGGGGTGGTGACATTTTCAGAATCCTCGAGTACGTTTTTTTATTAATAATATAGTTTTACTACTTAAATTTTATTAATTTAATTTTTAAGATTTTATAAATTTACTTTTTTCCTCTTATAAAATTCTATGTTCAGATATTAAGATTTATTTGGAAGTGCCCATTTAAGTTTAGAAAATTGTTTTAGAGACTGAGTGTATTACCTAACAGAAGGATTAAGTCTTTTACATAGTGGTATTGTTTTAGGCATAATGATATTCTCAACATTTTATAAAATATTCATTTTTGATTTTATTTTTCTTGAAACATTTTAATTCTTAATATTTCATTTAAAGACAAAATTTTTTTTATGGATATAAATCGTTAGACAATCCACAATCAATGTCTTGAGATGATATAACCGACATATTTAGCATTATATACTAACATTATAGTATCACATCAAATTGACGGGAATGACTAACGTTTCCTTAGATCGTCGCCATCAACAACGATAAAATTTATCAATTTTGGATAATACAATTTTTTTTGGAGTGAGGAAAAGATTGTGTATTTAATTAAAGGGTAAAGTATATAAGAGATCATTAGACTATGTTAAAAAAATAGCCAATAAACTTTTAAATATTATAAAATGATCTTTAATTATAAAATGATAATTAAACTTATCAAAACTCTTATAAAATGGTTCCAATATATTATAAAATAGTAATAAATTTTAACAAGTTCAAGGATCATTTTATAATAATTTGCTAAGTTTAAAGACTATTTTATAATAGAGTGATAAATGTTAATGATCATTTTGTATAATTTGAAAGTTTATTATTCAAAAAGATTATTTTAACATAGTTTGAGGACTATTATTGTACTTTACCCTTCATTAAAAAAGGTAAAAAAAATTGGGTAAAAAAAAGTTAAAATCAATGTTGAAAAGGGCCTCAAGTTAAAAAGAAAGAAGGTAAAGCTATCTTAGAGCTTCAAGTTGTGAAAATACTTATCTAAATGCAATAAAATGTCGTACCTGCACCACAAGTTGCTTCACCTTCACCAAAGGAAAAGAAGGAACCTTATAAACACAACCCCTCACCCACGCCGCCACCACCACACGGCACACATACAAGACGCACCGGTAAAAGGCGCTATGAAAGCGACGGCAATGACATCTGAAAACCAATCACGGCATTCCCAAAGTGACTTGCCCTATGTCCTCATCTTAAAACCGCCGCCATCCTTCCTCCTCTTCGGTGACCATTTTTTGGACTCATCCAAATTCCAATACTTGAAAGCATACGAATCCCCACTCCCTCTCCCCCAGTTCTTGCAGGAACATGCACAATCGGTACAAGCCATTTTCTCATCCGGTCTCGCTCCCGTCACCGCCGAAACTATCCGCCTTTTGCCCCGTCTGGGTTTGGTCGTTACCACTAGTCAGGGGCTTAATCACATCGACCTCACCGAGTGCCGACGCCGTGGCATCGCAGTGGCTGGAGCTGGAACTATTTTATCCGCTGATTGTGCAGATTCTGCGGTGGGATTTTTGATCGACGTCTTGAGGAAGATCTCGGCTGCTAACCGTTATGTCAAGCAAGGGCTCTGGTCTTCCCAAGGAGCCTATCCTCTTGGCTATAAGGTAGTAAATCTTATCCTTTCTTCCACAGTTCTCTCCCTCTCTTTCTCTTTCACTTCCAAAGGGGGGGAAAATACAACTTTAAAAAGAACTTGTCCTTACAATCCCATATTTAAATTATTTGCTAATTGCGAGTTTCAGCTCGGAGGTAAGCGTGTTGGAATTGTAGGATTAGGGAGTATTGGAACAGAGGTTGCTAAAAGACTGGACGCATTTGGCTGTTCAATTTCATACAATTCAAGAAGTAAAAAACCTTTAGTGCCATACACCTTTTATCCCAACGTGGTTGAACTTGCGGCTAATTGCGATGCCCTTATAATTTGCTGTGCTTTAACTGATGAAACTCACCACTTGATCAACAAGGAAGTATTGTCAGCGTTGGGGAAAGATGGGGTCATTATCAATATAGCTCGTGGACCTATCGTCGACGAGAAGGAATTGGTGCGTTGTTTAGTTAAGGGAGAGATCCGAGGTGCTGGCTTGGATGTGTTTGAGCATGAACCCGACGTTCCGGTCGAGCTCTTTGCATTGGATAATGTAGTTATGTCTCCTCATTGTGCTGTTTTGACAACGGAATCTTTTGAAGATTTGGGTAAACTAATGGTCGGAAACATTGAAGCCTTCTTCTCGAATGAACCCTTACTAACTCCTGTTTCTCTGGATGGATGATCTACCACATTTCTGAGGTTAGCAACTGCGCCATCCTCTTCTGCTAAGAATTTCTTTGGGGCTATATTCGGGGATGTTATCTGCTGTTATAAATACATTGGTGGAGGAAAGACTGAATGTAGGCCAAGGAGAACAGCAGGAGTAAGAGTTGGTGGATTATTAGGTGATTTTAACTTCAGTTGTGAGTTTGAGAATAAAAGCTCTGAAGTTTCTTGAAACTTTTGTTCAGAGTCGATATGTGCTGATTTACAGTGAACATTTTTTTATCATTGCCTGCAAATGCGTGCCCTTTCAAGCTTGCTCTAGTAGTCGATAAAAAGCTTTGTTTCTCGTTTTAATTGCACGTCCAGTCGTTCACACATCAACACCCAAAGAGAGTATAAAGAAATCAGAAATGGACTGTGGACTTCTTCAAATTAGTCATCTTCTAATACAAAATGGAACAGTTTAGTTCCTCTACTGTTGGAGTTATACAAATTGTTTTAAATTTCGGATAAGTGACATGTTATTTAATTATTAATAAGAGTATAAGTGGGTCACACAATTTTAAAATTTTATATAGGCATAATTAGTTATTTGTCATACTCATATATAGGTAATTGAATTGTTAAAAGGTGGATCTGAAAGACTCTCTCTCTCTCTATATATATATATCCTAAACTATGACCCTCATCTATATTGGTCTTTATCTTTTGAATATTATGATTTCATTCTCAAACAATGATGCTTATTCTAAATTAGTCCTTAAATTTTTTTAGCATTACAATTTCATCCTCAAACTATGACTCACATTCTAAATTGGTCCCCACACTTTTAAATCTGTCAATTTCATCCCACATTCATCCAAATATGTAATTAGTTTTAACCATAGTTAACCTAAACTTTATTTTTTTAGAAACACATAATAATATAGGTTGGCTTAATGATTTATTAACATGGAATGTGATTAGTATATACATATAATTTGGGATGAAATTGAAATGTTTAAGAAGTTTAGAGACCAATTTAGAATGAAATTAAAATGTTCAAAAGTTTAAAGACAAATTTAGAATAATATTAATAGTTTAGGGATGAAATTAAAATATTTAAAAGTCTAGGAATTAATTTAAAAAGAGGATCATAGTTTAGGTACATATGATGCAATTAACTCTAAACAATATAAGATTTATCGTGATTATAATCTCGTATAATTTAAGTAAGAGTTTTTTAAAAAATTTAAATATAATTTTTTATACGTGTATTCATTAAGTGATCGAAGACAATACATATATATGCGTGCCATTGCTCAATCAACTCATTTTCGTGCTCGTGCAATTACATAACACTTTGAGTGATTACAAACATCTATTAATATGAGGGGCCTAGTTCGATCCAAAAGCTAGGATTGATCATCAAAACCCAACCATGAAATTAATTAATTTTAGATAATAAAAATGATTTAGAGTGTAAGAAAAAATTACCAGTATACTGAATTAAAGGAAAATATATTATAGGTCATTATACTATGTTAAATAATTTTTGTGTCATTGAACTTTCAAATGTCACACAATAATCATTAAACTTGTCAAAATTATTAAAAATGATATCAATATATTATAGAACAGTAATAAAAATTTGATAAGTTAAAGGATTATTTTGTAATAGTTTGATAAATTTAAATTTTATGTTATAATATATTGATAAATTTTAATGAACATTTTGTAACTGATTGACAATTTTAATGGTTGTTTTATATTGTTTGAAAATTTATTGATGAAAAATATCATTTTAGCATTGTTTAGGAAGTATTGGTGTACTTTATCCTTAATTAAAAAGAAAGGGTAAAAATGAGAGAAAAAGGAGTTAAGATCAATGTTCAAGTAAAAGCCAAAAAGAAAAAATCCTAGACCACACAACGGTTGGTAAAAATACTTACCCAAACGCAATAAAATGGGTTATCTGCACCGACAAGTTGCTTCAAAGAAAGAAGACTAAAAAGGAAGAACCTTATAAACACGCCCCAGCCCACACACCACGCGACGGTGAAAAGCTCTGAAAGCGACGGCAATGACATCTGAAAACCAACCACGACATTCCCAAAGCGAGTTGCCCTGTGTCCTCAGCTTAAAACTGCCGCCATCCTTCCTCACCTTTGGTGACCATTTCTTTGACTCGCCCAAATTCCAATACTTGAAAGCATACGAATCCCCACTCCCTCTCCCCCAGTTCTTGCAGGCACATGCACAGTCGGTACAAGCCATTCTCGCATCCGGTGCGGCTCCCGTAACGGCCGAAACTATCCGCCTTTTGCCCCGTCTGGGTTTGGTCGTTACCACTAGCCAGGGCCTTAATCATATCGACCTCTCCGAGTGCCATCGCCGTGGCATCGCTGTGGCTGGAGCTGGAACTTTATACTCCGCTGACTGTGCAGATTACGTGGTCGGATTGTTGATCGACGTTTTGAGGAAGATTTCGGCTGGCAACCGCTATGTCAAGCAAGGGCTCTGGCCTTCCCAAGGAGACTATCCACTTGGCTATAAGGTGCTAAATCTTATCCTCTCTCTCTCTCTCTCTCTGTCGGGTATGGCAACCCAATGCCTTTTCAAGTATCCAATATGAGATGGGTACAAGACGGATACAGCTTAGGTGTGTATTGAAGACGTCTCATATATTGAAAGAGTACAGCTGAATTAATTTGGTTCGCCGGAGAGATTTTAACAGACATCGGAAATGATGTTTAATTATGCTCGTATCTAATACTATTTTTTAGATTTATTTTTAAAAAAAATAATAAAAAGTTAGTATTTTAGATAAGAAATTGAAATTAATTTTGAAGCTTAGAATATGATTTTTCGAAATATTTCTGGGTTGAGATGTATTTTTATGAGGAAATTTTACCGTGCGGTTTTTTTAATATACAATTAAAGAAATGATTTATCGGTTTTATTATTTTTTAATAAAATGGTAAAAAATTAATTAAAATATTATTATTTTTACTTAAAATATTAATATTTTTTAACATTTATGTTAAAGTGTCTAATAATAATAAAACTGATAAAAAATAATAAAATTGCTAATATTTTATTAGATATGTTAACAAAATCGATAAAACGATCAATAATAATAAAATCAGTAAAAATAATAATATTTTCGATAATTTTTTTATCAATTTTGTTAAAAATAATAATAAAACCGATTACGCCTTCGTTAACTGTATATTAAGTTGCGCATTTGAGACTTTCCCATTCTTATGCATTACTGTCTTTCAAAAATTTATTTATGAATTTTAACAAATATTTATAATTTTTTATATTTTTTAAAATTCTAAAATTTATTTAAATTTATTGTATTATTGCTGCACTCGTACCTTAAAATTTTGAAAATTTTCATTTTATGTGGTTATATCCGTTCTCGTATCCGACCAGTGCAAGATAAGTATCTCTCTCACTTTCAAAGGGAAAAAAAGAGGACAACCATAAAAAGTGTCGTTAATTATTTGCTAATTGCAATTTTCAGCTTGGAGGTAAGCGTGTTGGAATTGTAGGATTAGGGAGTATTGGAACAGAGGTTGCTAGAAGACTGGACGCATTCGGCTGTTCCATTTCATACAATTCAAGAAGTAAAAAATCATTAGTACCATACACCTTTTATCCCAACGTGCTTGAACTCGCGGCTAATTCCGATGTCCTTATAATTTGCTGTGCTTTAACCGATGAAACTCACCATTTGATCAACAAGGAAGTGTTGTCAGCGTTGGGGAGTGATGGAGTCATTATTAACATAGCTCGTGGACCGATCATCGACGAGAAGGAATTGGTGCGTCGTTTAGTTAAAGGAGAGATCCGAGGTGCTGGCTTGGATGTGTTCGAGCATGAACCTGCTGTTCCGGCCGAGCTCTTTGCATTGGATAATGTAGTTATGTCTCCTCATTGTGCTGTTCGTACATGGGGATCTTTTGAAGATTTGCGTAAAATAGTAATCGGCAACTTCGAAGCCTTCTTCTCGAATGAACCCTTATTAACTCCTGTTGCTTTGGATCATCTACCACATTTGTCACGTTAGCTACTGTGCCATTATCTTCTGTTATAAATATACTGCAGGGTTTCATGATTATGTAGAAACGAGGAACTGATCAAATATTTGCAGGGGGGAAGGACCGAGTGTAGGCGAGCGATGGAGAGCACCGGGACTAAGAGTTGGTGCATTATTAGGTGATTTGAACTTGTATTGTGAGTTTGAGAATAAAGGCTCTGGTTTAGGGAGGAGCAGTGGAACATTGTTCATCATTGCTTGCAAATGTTGTGCCCTTTCATGCTTGCTCTAGTAGTTAAGAAGTACCCAAACCGAGGCTTTAACAACCTTGCCTTGTAGAAAAGGCTTTGTTCCTCGTATTAATTGCACGTTCAGTCGTTCACACCGAAAAAGAAACTATAAAGTAATTCTTTAAAATATAATATTTTTACTAAATAAAATATTTCACGTCAAAAAGTAGTAGGGTATTTAACGGCCTAATAATTTGTTTTAGAATAATTAATCATTTGAGTGACAAGTTTATATTATTTTAAAATTAAATGATTCCTTTATAATTTTATAAATATTAAATCACATGCTATGTAATTTATCCTAAATTTAAACTACTATAATGATAAACTATAGCTAATACTGATCTGTCGGGACCTTTTCTTTAATGGAGTGGGAAAAAGACGTAATCAAAATGTCACCTCAACTATTTAGCTGAACATGCAACGTCGTTAGTTAAAACATTAAGTGAGATGTTACTGTGTTGGGTAAGATGGTCATAAGAATATGTGGTAGACAAACTCCAAAAATGCCGATTGAAAAAGTAGATGTGGTCCCATTATTTATTTGTGGACCTACGTTTAATTAGTGATGTAAACTTACCACTTTTACAATTTGTCAAATGATAAGAATATTGAATTAGTTTCTTTTATCTTAGTGACGTAAACTTACAACTATTACAATGCTTAAATACTTTTATCAATTTTTAGTTCTACAACTTTTTTTCTCTAAACTCCCTCTTTTCTTGTCATCATGTGCTATTTTCTTTTGAATTTTTTTAATATTTATTATATTTTTATGGTTCAATACAAAAATAAGTGTCTAAAATACTCAAAATTCACTTTTGGTGTATAATTTTTTTCTTAAAAATAGATTTTCCCATTACACTTTTAGGTGCGTGTCGTTAAAAATTGTTAAGTGATATGTGTCGTGTTTATATATATATATATTTTATTTTTTAAAAAATAAAAAAAATTTTAAAACATATATTTTTAAAAATATAAACATGACACATGTCTTTTAACGGTGAACATCTAAAAATATAACAGAAAAAACATTAAACACTTGTTTTTAACAGAAAATATTTTGGCACTAAAAATGAATTTGAAGTATAATTTATGTAATGATTTTTAAATTAAGCTTATTCTTAAATATACTCTCGTTGAAAATAATACTTTTGCATCAAAAATCTCTGAAAAAGAATTCTTCCATTAGTCAAAACTTTCGTAGTTTCACATATCATAATCGATCATATTAACATGTTTAATGACAGATTTACGAAATGTATTAAGAGTCAATTTTTGTTGCGAGACAACTAAATTTATTTGCCTGCTTTGTGTACTAACAATTAAAAATAAGGACTCTAACCAAACATCCGCACCTAATTAGAGTTGGGATATAAATCACAGTGTAAAATCGAAAGGGGGTTAAATTCTTTGAGCTGGGCATCATCTTCTTCATTACGTTTCTTCTCCAATCGATCATCATCAAGTCTTTTTTTTGGGGGGTAAACAATATAGAACACATTGTTGTTGCGGAAGACGACTATCGGATAGAGCAAAATCGCAACTGATAATTTGAGAAAATAAAAAATAGAGATAAAGAGGACACAAAATTTACGTGGAAAACCCCTAAATAATATAGGGTAAAAACCATGGACAACGGTAGAAGAAATTCACTATGAGAAAATAGGAATTACAACCTCTCTCGATCTAACAAGGAGAAAACAATGATAATTCTCTCTTGATAAAAAAGAGAAAACAACTCTCAAGAAACTCTCTAAATTCTCTCTAGTATTGGAAGAAAGCTAGATGCTTTGAGATGATTTTGAAGCTAAATGAGCTAGGGTATTTATAGTTGAAACTTAATGACTAATCTTGTAAATACCCTAAAGTCTAATTGCTAAATTTTGTGATTTTACCATTTCAAAATTCAACATTTCATGCACTTAATTTTGTTACTTTCGGTGGATTTTTTTTCCACATTTTCGGTGGATTGTCAACAATCTCCCACTTGAAGATTTGATTGGAACAATCAAATCTTCACACCATTCTTTCTACCTTGTACCTTTATGTTGCTTACGTCTCTGACAGGCCACAAGAGGATCGACACCAAGTAAATTTATCGGCATTTATCGCCTTCGTCATGAAATCTGCTATGTTGTCTTTGGTATGGATCTTCTGCATATCTATCGTCCCTTCTTCCACCTTTTCACGAATGAAATGGTATTGAACTCGTATGTGCTTTGTCCTTGAATGAAATGTTGGATTCCTTGCTAGATGCAAGGCGCTTTGACTGTCACAAAATAGAGAGACATACTCTTGATTGTGCCCAATCTCCTCCAATAGCATCTTCAACCAAATTGTTTCTTTACTGGTTTGTGTAGCTGCTACATATTCTGCTTCTATTGTGGATGTAGCCATAACTGACTGCAATTTTAAAACCAAGCTTACAGCTCCACCAGTAATTTTGAACACATATCCTGTAGTAGATTTACTTTTATCCAAATCCTCTGCATAGTCAGAATCGACATACCCATTTATAAGTAAGTTTGATCCTCCGTAACATAATGCAACATTTGAGGTCCCTTTGATGTATCTAAGGATCCTCTTTACTGTATTCCAATGCTCTTTGCCTGGATTCGCAATGTACCGACTAACCACTCCACTGCTTGTGCAATGTCTGGTCTTGTGCATATCATAGCGAACATTAAACTTCCCACTGCTGATGCATACGGTACTCGAGACATCTTTATCCTCTCTTCTTCACTGCTAGGACTCATACCGGAAGATAATTTGAAGTTAATAGGAAGAGGGGTAGAAATTGGCTTACAATCTTGCATGTTGAATCGTGACAAGATCTTCTTCAAGTAATTCTTTTGTGAAAGCCAAATCTTCCTATTACTTCTGTCTCGGTGAATTTTCATCCCTAGAATCTTGTTTGTTGATCCCAAGTCCTTCATTTCAAATTTCCTAGCCAGTTGTGCCTTCAATTCTTCAATATGATATTTGTTGGGTCCTGCAACCAATATGTCATCCACATACAACAATAATTTAACAAAATCCTTATCACCAGACCTCTTGAAATAAGCACAAGGATCTGCATTAAGTCTGTTGTATCCAAGGCACATAATGAAAGAATCAAATCTCTTATACCAACACCTCGGCGCCTGCTTTAGACCGTACAAAGATTTGTTCAACCTGCAAACCAAATTCTTTTTTTTTTCCTTCAAAACCTTCAGGCTGGAGCATGTAAATTTCTTCTTCAAGATTTCCATGAAGAAAAGTTGTTTTAACATCTAGCTGCTCTAGATGTAAGTTCAATGTAGCACACATTGCCAAGACTACTCGAACTGTTGTTAGTCGAACCACAGGAGAAAAAAATTCATTGAAATCAATAACTTCTTTTTGAGCATATCCTTTGACCACCAATCTTGCACGATACCTCTCCACTTGATCGTCACCATTTTGCTTGATTTTGAAGACCCATTTGTTACCAATTGGCTTCCTCCCTTGTGGTAGTGGCACAAGGTCCCATGTATTATTTTTATGAAAGGCTACGATTTCTTCTTGCATCGCCATCATCCACAGTGAAGCATCTGAGCTATTTATTACCTCCTGGTATGTTGATGGCTCACCGTCCTCTATTAAAAGGCAGTATGCAACATTTCCTTCTATAACATAATCTGAGTGCCAATTGGGACGTCTTCTCACATGATCTGATTGACGAGTTGTTGGAGCTTCAGAACTCTCTGGTTCTTGTTCATCATGTGATGGTTCTTGTTCATCATGTGATGGTTCTGCTTCAGAAGAATCTCCTCGTTCAACCTCTTTTTCTACATGTATCTGTGTAGTCTCTGACTTTTCAGCGCTTTCATCATCTTCTTTTATTTGTAGCTTATCTTCTACAAAGATAATATCCCTGCTGATGACTACTTTGTGGGCAGTGGAATCCCACAAGCGATACCCCTTGACTCCATCAGCATACCCCAAGAATTTACATTTCCTAGATTTTGGATCCAGCTTTGAGATTTCTTGGGAGTTGTACATCACGTACACAATACTTCCAAATATATGGAGGTTTGAATAATCAGTTGGTTTATCAGTCTACATCTCCATTGGTGTCTTTAGCTCTATTGCAGTTGATGAAGCTCGATTCACCAAATAACAGACAGTATTGACTGCTTCTGCCCAGAATGATTTTTCTAGGCCTGCATCCCTTAACATTGCTCTTGTTATTTCTAACAAAGTTCTGTTCATCCGCTCTTCCACTCCATTTTATTGAGGAGTGTTTGCCACTGTGAACTGTCTTTTGATGCCTTCTTTCCTGCAAAAGTTATCAAATTCTTCGCTTGTGTATTCTCCTCCATTATCTGTTCTGAAACACTTGATCTTATTTCCAGAATCAAGTTCCACCCGCGCCTTGAAGTTTTTGAAAGTTGAAAACACGTTTGACTTCTTCTTAATAGGGTACACCCAACATTTCATGGAGTAGTCATCAATAAATGAGACAAAGTATTTTGCTCCACCTAAAGATGTAATTGGTGCTTGCCATACGTCAAAGTGAACCAATTCTATAACACTTTTGCCTCTAGAATTTGATTTGTTAAATTTCAACCGGTGCTGCTTACTTGTTATGCAATGGTCACACAAAGGAATTGTTACCTTTGTTAAGACTGGAAGTAGGTTTTGCTCCACAAGGACTTTCATTCCTTGTTCTGACATGTGTCCAAGTTTCTGATGCCATAGCATTGCAGAATCTGAACTACATGAGGCAACAGAGACTTCTGCTTCTATAAAAGTCTCTCCCTTCAGCATATACAAGTTTGCTGCTATCTTTTCGCCTTTCAGCACCACAAGCGCTCCACGGAACACCTTCATGATTCCATTATGTGTTTCAATCTTTCTTGTATTATTATCCAACAATCCGTAGGATAATAAATTTTTCTTCAGGCCTTTCACGTGCCGCACATCTCGAACAACTTTAATTGTTCCATCATACATCTTCAATTTGATGGTTTCAACGCCAATGATCTCTAAGGCATGATCATTGCAACTATACACAGATCCTCCTGAGACAGGTTCATAATGATGGAACCATTCTCTTCTTGAGGTCATGTGATATGTTGCTCCCGAATCAATAAGCCATATATCTGCATATCTCTTTCTGCCTTCCACAGTGGTTGACGCTCACAACATAGAGCATCTCCATCATCTGAAGTGTTTGCGGTATTGCCTTGTGGATTGGAGTTTTTATTTAGACTCCAACAATCATTCTTCAAGTGACCCTTCTTTCCACAGTTGTAGCACTTTAAATTCTTCTTGCTTCTCGACTTCAATCTACCATGGTTGTGACTGCTGCTTTGGCCACGTTCTGTTAATCTCCCTCTCATCGTTGTCAATCTGCTTGTTGCAGATTTACTTGTCTGTCTTTCTTATTCTTGCACCGATTTTCTTCTTGTAGAATAGCAACCGCAATGTCATCGAAGACTAGACTGGTGACATTATTGTTTGTCAAGTTGATGATGAGTTGATCATACGAATCCGGTAGACTTTGAAGTATAAGTTCAGAACGTTATTGTTCTCCTATTTTATAGCTTAAGGATATAAGCTGAGAAAATAAAGTGTTAAGTGTATTTAAGTGCTCCATCACTGAAGTAGATTATGGCATCCGGAGAGTGTACAATTTCCTCTTAAGGAAAATTTTATTGTGCAACGATGTGGCCTCGTACAATTTGGTGAGATGATCCCATATCTCCTTAGCTGTCTTCTTCTCCTCGATGCTTGACAATACTTCATCTGCTAATGCTAGATGAAAGTTTGCCATAGCATTCCCGTCCATTTCGATCCATTTGTTATCGTCTGTGAAATCTACCAGCCTTTCAGTGATAGCTGCTAGACAACCGTCTTTCCTCAGGATGACATTCATCTTCAATTTCCACAATGAAAATTTTCTCCTATTAAATTTTTCAATATCAAATTTCGTTGACATAGCTTTTAGATAGCTCCCACTATTTCACTATCGTGAATAGTTCTCTGGAACCTTCAAAGAATGGGTAATACCTTCCTACTTTCTTATGTTGGAGGATCCACCTTTTGGTGGCAACCACAAAGACAATAAGCAAATATTACACACTCAAATCTGGCTCGGATACCAATTGTTGCGGAAGACGACTATCGGATAGAGCAAAATCGCAACTGATAATTTGAGAAAATAAAAAATAGAGATAAAGAGGATACAAAATTTACGTGGAAAACTCCTAAATAATATAGGGTAAAAGCCACAGACAACGGTAGAAGAAATTCACTATGAGAAAATATGAATTACAACTTCTCTCGATCTAACAAAGAGAAAACAATGGTGATTCTCTCTTGATAAAAAGGAGAAAAAAACTCTCAAGAAACTCTCTAGTATTGGAAGAAAGCTAGAATGCTTTGGGATGATTTTGAAGCTAAATGAACTAAGATATTTATAGTTGAAACTTAATGACTAATCTTATAAATACCGTAAAGTCTAATGGCTAAATTTTATGATTTTACCACTTCAAATTTCAACATTTCCCACACTTAATTTTTGACAATTAATTTTATTATTTTCGATGGATTTGTTTTTCACATTTTCCGTGGATTATCAACGAGTGTTACCGCCAACTGTCTACATTCATGTCCATTTCTATCCACACAATCATGGATCCCAAAACCCAAAAGCTAGGTAACTTGGAATCAGCTACTTTACTCTTTTTAATACTCCGCTGCTGCCTAGCATTGTTTCTCGCACAAAACCACCAATGGAATCTCAACTACCTCAAGAACGAAGCAAGCTGAGAACGAAAGACCTCCCTCAGGTCCTAGTGATGAAACCACCACCACTTCTCACACTTTTCGAGGACAAATTCATATCAACCAAATTCCAGCTCTTAAAAGCATGGGAATCAACTCTTCCTCTAGATCAGTTCCTGACGACCTACGCAGGCTCAGTTCGAGCCGTCCTCTGCTCCGGTGCTTCCCCTGTAACCCCTCACATTATCCGGTTACTGCCTTCGGTGCAATTCGTTGTAACCGCCAGCGCAGGCATCAATCACATCGACTTGAATGAGTGCAGGAGGCTTGGCATAGCGGTCGCCAACGCCGCGGCTGTGTTTTCAGATGATGCTGCCGATGCGGCTGTGGGTTTGCTGATTGATGTACTTCGAAAAATCTCTGTCGCTGACCGGTTCGTTAGACGTGGTCTCTGGCCCGCCATGGGAGATTATCCTTTCGGTTCCAAGGTCATCATTTCTCTTTTTGTTTGTTTTACGTTTGTGGATTTCGTTCGATTCTCGGGGACATTTATTCTTGAGTTTTGATTCATCACTGATGCTCAAATTTGAGATTTCATCTTATAATTTAATTTGACCCTCAAATTTGGACTAACATCATAACTTTTATATATTTAGTTTGAACTTTTAAAATCATTGGCTGATCTGAATTGTACTACCTTATAGCTAACTTAAATTATTAAAAAAGAAAATTGAACTTTTGATATATGTACTAAAAAGGAGGATCAAAAGGGAAGAATTCATGATACTTCAGTTCCACATTGTCTTTAGATTTTTGGGTTTTCTTTTGATTATAACAATCTTTGACCAATTGCAAACTTTGTGCATGTATATCAATTGGGAGGCAAGAGAGTTGGGATTGTAGGACTTGGAAACATAGGTCAGCAGTCGCTAAAAGGCTAGAGGCCTTTGGGTGCACCGTATTATACAACTCAAGGAAACCCAAACCTTGGGTTCCATACCCTTTCTACTCCAACGTTCATGAACTCGCATGCGGCAGTGATGTCCTCGTCGTTTGCTGCGGATTAACAGCCGAAACTCGGCACATGATTAACCGAGAAGTCATGGTGGCGCTAGGAAAGCAAGGGATCATCGTCAACGTAGCACGTGGAGCAATAATTGATGAGAAGGAAATGGTGGTGTGTTTGGTACATGGGGAGATCGGAGGAGCTGCTTTAGACGTGTTTGAGAACGAACCTGATGTTCCTAAACAACTACTTCAATTGGACAATGTTGTGCTGACACCGCATAGAGCTGTTTTTACACCAGAAGGTTTCATGGCTGCCTGTGACCTGGTTGTTGCTAACTTGGAAGCTTTCTTTGAAGATAAGCCATTACTTTCTCCGCTCATAGATGAATGAATTATTGAATTTAAATAATTAATGTAACAAAAAAAACGCAAATAATTAAGTTTTATTTTGCTGAAATATTTTTGGATAATCTAGATGAATGGTCATTGAAATTTGAGTAATTATTTTTTCTCATTGATATTTTAAAATTAACGATTTGATCACTGATGTTATTGATTTATAATAAATTGATCATTCATCACTAACAATCATTAATCGAGAATAATAGAATGTTGAAGTGTCTCGTTAAACTAATGACATGTCATCACCAATCTCCCTTTACCCAAACGCTGCCGCATGAAACCCCTTAGGGTCATGAGCAATTCTTCTCTTTACAAGTGAATGAATCTGAAACTTGTTAAGAGTTAACTCGTAGCAGACAACTAATTTCTTCGTCAACTGAGTTCTGTGATAGATAAACAATATAGTCAGTGTACCTCGGGATGCTGGTAAGTGCTCTAAAAAAATGTGGCTAATCCTTCACACTTACATAGGTGATTTCATCAAGTCTATCTCAATATAGATCACCCAAATCAAGGATATGAAATCATTAAGAGCATTTAGTAAGCTCAACCTCACAATTAATATTCGATGAGTTCATCAAGTTCGTCTCTCAAGGCCACCCAAGTCATGGACTATGAACTCATTAAAAGCATAAGCTCCTCCTTTCACGTTGGTTGATTCATCAAGTCCTTCTCACTAGGATCACCCAAAACCTGGGCTATGAATCCATTAAGAGTTTGAAGACTCAACCTCAATTGTACATAATACGCCATAGGGATAGGAAATAGTGTACTATATTCAATCAAATTGGCTTAAGACCCATCCCCGTCAAGAACCATTTTCCTACATAACCCTTTAGTTAGTGGATAACTAGGTTCATTTCCGATTTCACATATTCCATAGAGAATACACCATTCTTTATTAAATGTCTTACACATTCATGTCTTATCCGAATATGCTTTTTCTTACCATTAAAGGCTTGATTTTCTCAAGTACTTTAAGAAAATTCATATTCACATGTCCTAATCTATCATGTTATAAATCAACAGATTCAACAATATAAGCATAAGTAAAAGCTTTTTTATTATCATTATTCATGGTCTCAACAACAAATAGCCTCTACTAAGATAATTTTCCCCCATAAAATTACCATTACGAGAAAGCACAAGTTTATCAGATTCAAACACAAGTTTAATTCATGCCTTATTCAAGAATCCACCACTAATAAGATTTCTACGTAAAACATGAACATACATAACATTATGCAAAGCCAAGGCTTTGCCAGAAGTAAGTTTAAGTAAGATCTTTCCTTTACCGAGTACTTTTGAAGTGGTGGAATTTCCCATGTAAACTTGTTCACCTTCAACTTCATCTTCAAAATCAGTGAACATTTCTTTGTTGGCACATAAATGTTTGGAAGCGCCAGTGTCCATTATCCACTTGGCATGATTTTCCACCAAGTTAACTTCTGAAATTACAGCAGCAATCACCCCATATGGATCCTCCACCAAATTTGCTTGTGGTTTATTTTCATTCTGGTTTTGATTCTTGTGGCGATCAGAGTGACGAAAGCACTAATAGGCTTTATGTCATTGCTTGCCACATACGTAGCAACTCACCAACTTGTTGGGTTTTTGCTTCGCTCTTGATTTTTTGAAGGTGGTTGAATTCTTAGGATGAGAATTATCATTCTTCTAAGGATTGACAGAGTTTCTAAACCTGTTATTTCTAGCACCAGAAGATTCCACCAAATTAGCCTTAAAAGAAAATTCATTTTTAGAGATAGAATCCTTATCTTTGAGGCGGTTCACCTCTTCTATCTTCATGTGACAAGGAAATGTCTCACTTCTTATGCTTTAGAAGGTTTTGATAATCGAACCAAGACTTGGGAAACTTCTCGATCAGTACATTGGCTTGAAGGATTTCACACATCTCCATTCCTTCAGTAAGGATATCTGAGACTAACTTCTCATAAGCGTGAACTTGTTCCATGATTGGCTTGTCGTTAGTCGTCTAAAATTTCAACCACCCCCAACTACATACTTCTTGATTCCTGCATTATCGACACCGTATTTTTTTCCAAGGTCTCCTATATTGACTTGGCGGATTTGTCTTTGATGAACAAATCAAAAAGATTATTGGTCATGTGACTGAGCATATGACCTCTGGTATGTTGGAAGTGTCAATTACATCCGAGGAAGGAATTATAGCTCCGACAATGGTAGGTGGGTTGAACAACACGTAGTCAACTTCTAGTTGTTCAAAGAAGATGACCATTCTCTGAGACCAACGACTGTAATTAGTTTCGTCTAACGGCTCGAGTTTAGACAAATCGAGAATATACTTGTTGAAAGTGAAAGACATGTTGAGCAGATAGTAATTTGCTTCTAAATTGTAAGAATTGAGACTGCAAAACAAATCAATTAGCACTGACAAGTACGATATAACCAAACAAATATGTAGAATTGTTACTGCGTCATGGTAGTCTACTGCCTTAGAAGCGAATTCGCCCCGACCGGTGTAATTGTTAAAAATGGACGATTGCCCCCAAGATTAACACAATACTCCCTGTTCCGTAAACCTGAGATAGGAAGTTAAAACTCAATTGATTGCTTTTTTAAGGTCGGATGATAAATGAATTTAATTTTCTAACGAAGGCTTCAAAAGGAAAGGAAAATAACAACGAAAGTTGGAAAGCTTTAGAGATGATTGGTAGGAGAGATATTTGATAAATGAGTGAGTGAAAAAGTGAAACAATCAACTTTGCACAAGAATCCCAATCATTTTGCACAAGAATCTCGCCACTCTCTCGTGGTTTCTCCAACAAAAACAATCAACTTTGAAAAGGTATTTTACAATATATGCATTAATCACAGGTCATAGCTATCTACCATCGCTACCGTTTAACCACTCCTTAGAACCCAGCACACCCCATCTTGTCGCGTGCTCTGGTGGTTCACCCCTGTTCACATGACACTCTGAGCCACCCGAGTAGTGTTCGCACCCCTCTGTCCTAGTCGTGTACCACCCTTAATGTATGAACCCATCTCGTTATGGGTATAAACCCCGTTGTTTTTGTTATAAAAAGTGGTTATTGTAATATTCCTAATGCTTCTTGTGGATCAAGGGTGGATGCATATGCCCTATAAGGAGTCAAATGCATATTCATTATTTTAGATAAGCTAGTAAATATAGAGTAATATATTAAGGAAAGAAAAAGAATAAAAAAATTGTATAACCCATCATGTTGAACAAATAGTATTAAAAATTTTAGACCCCATTTATAAATTTCTAGATCCATGGCTGTTGTGGATACGTAAATATTGTAGAAGTATCAGCTCTTCTTAAAGCGAGTTGCAGAGACAGTTTTTCAATTAAAGGCCATGTTTGACAGGGTCCTCAAGTCCACTTTCGTTGCTGGCCATCCACTGTCGACGAAAACAACTGAAGAATGCGCGCGACTGCAAGAACTGTTACGATTGAGGGTCTTAACATCCTATCCTGGTTACGGGGATCGCGAGACGCAAAAATTTAAAATTAATATATATTTTAAATATTTTTGTACATTTTTATTGAAAATTTATTTTTATCTATCTAGAGTTTTATAAGTTTAAGTTTGTCTCATCTGAAATTTTATAAGTTTAATTTTACCCCTATAAAATTTTTCGTTGGTTGCTATATCCACCTCATACTGCTGCCGAATATCGACTATCCAGGAGTGAATCATTATAATCCTAACGAGCTTCTGAATAATGGTTTTGTTCTAAAACTTAACCAAGCTTACCTCAACGAAATCAGCGACCCCATCCTTGGGTCCAACAAGTATCAATTGCCTAATCAAGTATATATACTACATTCATATTCTAGTGATCGAGTGAATCAGTTATATGTATGATATTTCTCAAAACTATTTGTTTTTTATTGGCATAGCAACGAGCTGGTTCTGGCAGCGACGATGATGATCTTGAGTTTTCTTTTGACTCGTTGTTCCCAGAAATCTACCTCTCCTATTGAACTCCGACATCGACGTATCCCAAGAAGATAATGCTCTTTGGAATGAGCAAGATGTTAGCCAGACAAGTGCATTATTTTAATTCTGGTCATCTCTATCCACCACCTTTTACCCTTTAATTCAGTACAATATTCGTACCTTACAGCTGTTATCCCAATGTACTAATACAATTAAGATATAATGTGCTATTGGTCTAAGCAATTTTTAATATCGATACCCTATAAGATATCGATATCATTAAGAGGCAAGTATCGATACTTATGAAAAAATATCAATACTCGTTGTTTGTATTTGATCCCTAACGTATTAATTTCCAAAATTATTATGGTTACGATACTAATAATGGGCAATTGTTGAATATTGAGATTCAAATTTATAAATCAATAATTCCATAATATAATACATGGAAATTAAATGGTGTTTTTTTATCGGCAAAATGTAAATTTTTATTAATAAGGATCAACCTAGCTCAAAAGCCTCATTAAAAACCTCTCTAGACCTAAATAGAGAAAAAAAGTACTTTGAACCAGGGCAACAAGCATTAATAGAAGCTTAAAACACTCCAGAACAAAAGGAACACCCCTTCACACAACAAACTAACAACTATCCAAAGCAAATAACAGCAAGGCAGCGAAGGCAAAATAAACTACACAACGATTGCGTACTGAATTTTTTTGATCCTATCCTGGTAATGTGACTCGTACATAAACATCTAAAAATATGAACGCGATAATTTATTAATTAGCAGTTATGAGTGGAATTTAAAAAAAAAAACACTTCGGACAGCCAAGATACTTTATTCAGTAACCATAAGTGACACACAAAGAAACAGGTTGGACACCCATACTATTATTGTCCAGCGACTATTTGTGACAATATAACACATTAGATACATAAAGACCTCCATTGATTAAAACAAAGTGCGTACAACAGAAAAGAGAAGAAAGCATGAATTATGGTAATGTTAACGATGAAAATAACTTTGGGTAACTTATGAGAATATAAAGGTATAAGTACATTGACCTCAATGACAAGGTTGGACGTTGTTTATACTTTCAATGTACTTTCACTTATCTATATTTATGCTTTTTGTGAATTGCTTAGAATGGTTATGCATTACTAGCTAGCTCTCATAGCTCACTCCTCGTTTGTTTAATATTTTTCAAGAAGTAGATAATTGATAGTAGATCCATGGAGCACATCTTCAAGGAATTCCAGCATCAACCCATTAAGAGTACAGCTCTGAATTGAGTTAGAGAAGAGGAGATGTGTATCCATGTGTTCCTACGTTATATTCAATTTTGAGTCTGAATGTGTTTTAAACAATTCAAATATTTTGTTGAACATGCATGAGTCGGGTTTCACATTTTGTAACAAATTGTCCTTTTTATCAAATATTTTATGTAATAATGTTTATTTAAAATGAATATTGAAACTTTTATTTAAAAAAATTATGGTATAATTTATTGGATTGCTTTGGGACCTAAACGTGACATCCTAAGTTCACCGTTGCGACTGATAAAATTTAAGGTATCATAAATTATTACAGCCAAATTAATAGTAAAATATAGTATTTTATTAGCATCCGAAATCAACAAAAAAATGATAACCGGTAGCACAAACTTAATTTGTTCCACCGAGAAGGAAGCATATGAGCCAAAAGTTTTGATCTATGCACGTGAGGAGGGGTTCAGCTAAGATGAGCATCAAATTGATGTCTAATCGGGGGGAAACTGGGCAAGGTGTCAGCTCGAGTGGAGGCTGAAATATAATTTGTGGGGTGGGGGGTTCTATTTTTTGTCATTTTCTGAGAAAGATCGAGACTGGATTCCTTACGTACCACCAACTTTATGGTAAGAAGTCTACCATTTGTATCCATCAACACCATAATTTCCATCTCAATAACCTACAAAATTAACGTGATATTTGATATATGGCTTAATTATTTGATCCTTTAATTAACAATATCATTTCTATCACGATATTTTTTTTAATTTGCACAAAAAATTATAGTTGATCGGTGAAGTAATAATCATTGACTAGTATTCTTCTGTAACATAGATGAAAGTATTAAAAGGAAGACGGGAGTGAAGAAGAAGAAGTGGAGAGAATCCTCCTCTCAATCGTGGTTGAGAGATATTTATTGTCATTATAGTTGAGGGTCTAGGTATAAGGTAAATATGACTACTCGTAGGTCAATATACTAAATAAATCTGATTATCATATTAATTTCGCTCTCGTAGATCACGTGGGTTTGTCAGAGGTATTATTTATATATTGTAGTTGGTCTGAAAGCAATGATACTCATGTGCCCAAAGGATATAGACTCCTTAAAAGCTCCGATAGATGAGAGAATCTATCCAGAGGTTTCAACTAGCGAAGAATTAGCAGATTTTGAAAGTGATTCCTTAAGGTATAACAATTTCGAATATTACGGTAGATTTAATCCTACTCCTACCTACAGGAGAGGAGAATGAGGACTTTAGGGAAAGAGAGGGGAGTATTCTTACTGGGTCTAGAATCCATGACCTAAGAGAATATGAGGGAACAAAGATGAGCAGTTCGGTCAACCTAACTAATGTACTTGCTCGGTTACGAATATTAAATATAATTAATAATATAAATATGATAAATACTAAAAAAGACTATTAGTTCATTTTTTAAAGATATAATCATTATCTCGTCAAATGTTTAGAGTAGTTCCAATAATTAAGAAAATTTTATTGTTTCTTAATGACTAGATTCAAGTGATAATTTGTATGTGTGTGTAAATTTAGATCTAGATCTTTTAAGAAAAAGAAAAAAACCATTGTTATGGTCTTGTTGAAGTACTTGTCTCATGTTGGAGAGCATTTATGCAAAATAATTTAAAGTTGCTAAAAATCTTTCTTGAGGATCTTATCAAATCAAAAGTGGGATCATGGTGAAGATCGTTCCAATATTTTTTATATGTATCTCACGTGCATATAGTAACAAAATAGTATTGATTTAATTGTATACACTATATATTATATATTTATCAATCAATTTATTGATATGACCTAGCCATAACATTAATCATATTGATAATTTAGATGGCAAATTCATGCTACAACTAGCTCAATACGATCATTACCTGTCTGTCAATCATCAACATCATCGAAAAGGTCAAATTTTAGTAGAAAAAACCATTAAATTCACTATATGTGATGTTATATATGCATTTATCAAATGAAACAAAATATTGCGGTGTCGTTTTGCATTATCAGTCCAAAATATGATTATCACGTCATACCTAACCTTTTTGGCCCTTACTAAGGTTGTGACCATCTAGATTGTAATATCTCATAGTATATATAAAAAGTTTATTTATATAATTAGGGACAAAACGTAGAATTTTATGTCAGGTAGTGTGAATTTAAGAAGTTATATTAAAATTTTTAGGAGATGTGAAATTGTAAAATCTTAAGGGTGCGAAATTAAATAATCAATAGAAAATACAAAGAAAAAATCTAAAATATAAGGAAATCTAAAAATTCTAAGGGGTGCGGTCTCTCGGTCTATCCCTGTATATAAGTAAAATACTTTAATTTACTTATTTTTAATAACCTTGTGTTTATACTTTAATAAATTAACTGCATTTTAAATAAATAAAATTTTCAAATGAATTTAATATTTATATTATATATATAATAAACTATCTTTTTAAATATATTTGGTATTCATTTATTTTTACGTCAAATTCCCTTCATTATGATTATAGATCTTTTACTACCGATTATTAATCAATTTAGTGAGATTAGATGTCATAGTTTTTTAGAATGTTCAGAATTTAAATCATGACATTATAAAATAAGTGAAAAAAACATCATCATAATAAAGTATATATAATATTTAAATATCTATATTAGAAAATATTAAATCCCCTACTGAATTGTCAGTTGTGGAAGATACAAATAACTTTATAAAAAATATTAGTAGGGTTACATAGTAATTTACTATAAAATAAAAGATCATAGGTCCTACTGTTACCTATGCATTTCTTTTTTTAAAAACTCCTACAAATATTTTATTAACTTATTAATAATTTTAAGGGGTTTTAAACACCAATAATACCGAAGAAAATATTTCTCATTCCAGTCAATTTTTGGGGTTTTTAATTTCTGTGGACAGCACCTTACCACCGGTAGGGCAAAATTACTTGAATAATGTTGTGGGGAATTTTTTCTCACATTCTGAAAGATTATGTTTTAAAATAGGACACTTGTTATGGTGTTAAGGGGAAGGCGTCAGGATCATCATGCGTCTTCCTTGTAAAATTGAAGATATATTGCAGTTTATGTGTCTTCTTCGACGAAACTAAAGACGCGTTACATTTTATGTGTCTTTTACCCTGCACTGTTCATATCACCCTAGTTAGAAAAATAATTCTCTCAATATCGTATGCCAGCCTATCTTTGTTTTTTTCAACACCCCAACTCAAGCAATTTTGTCCAGTGATAGCCTACCAGTAATTAAACTAGATGATAGAGGATTATGAAAGAGACTAACAGGCTAGATGAAAGGACAATCAAACTAATCTAACACTCGATTATCGAAGACTTTTCCATACCATGTAAAATTTGACTAGAAAATAATAATTTAGAAAATTGATGCTGCAACTACTTGGACACTAAATAGATTTGAGTTACTATTTGATTTTTAATCATTGAATATGAACCAATTAATAATTCTACACGTACTAATTAAATAAATTACAAATGGAATGCAAGAGTCTATATAAAATAAATAGAGATAATGGATAAAAAAAAATTAGCTGACCCTATTCTCATATGTAATGGGGTAAGGGAGATGTAGGGTAGTAGGCTGCCCCCAACACTAGGTTGAGAGCAACTTCCGAGGAAGACATCCAACAATTATAAATTGTCCACCGTGGGACTCGATCCCACGACCACAAGATTAAGAACATTGCACTCTACCAACTGTGCTGGACATACAATTCAAATAATGGATAAGATAATGCATAAACAAGAAAGTAAATGAGGTGAAGAGATTCTCAGTAACGGTATAGTGACCATGATCTCCTTTATTAGACGATGTCCAGTATCACATTTCACTATTCGATATTCTAAACTAGACTTAAATAATATTTAATCACGAGCCAGAGCTTAAAAGACCCAAATATTCTTCAAATACATAATAAGCATCATGTTCATTAAGTAGAGTAAAGAAAACCCAATTATTAATTATTATTCTTTTTTCTCACTCACAGCATTAATGTTCCATCAAGGATGAAATTGAACGAGTGAGAAATTACTGCAACCTTTCCGCAAAGGTTGGCTTTAAAGTTCAAAGAATAGAAAAGTACGGAGAGTTGTCAAATTTCTATGTCAATTATGGAAAGAGATGCACAAATTATGGAGCAATATGATTTGATTAATAAATATATAATTTGTTGTCACTCCATCCCCCTTCTAATGTTCTCTTTCACCACGTTTCCATATTATATTTTTTATATAATTATCAATTTTTATATATCAATTAAATATTTTTTATTAAGTTAAGGTGATTACAAAATAATATATGTTCTAAATATTTTTCAACTATTTGATAATAAACGCTCAATCGCCCTGTTGCAGTCGCTGATGCTCGAACCTATGACATTTAGAAACAATAATAATTTCTTTAACCACTGAGGTAAATTGATTCATGTTATATTAATCAAATAATTTAAAATAAGTGTTATCAACGTTAGATATGAGATGATTATTTCAATTCAATTACGTTATTATTATAATAATATTTAGATAATAATAATTTAGATGGAATAAAGGTTTAAAAGTCAAGTAATCAAAAATTAATGAAAGGAATAAAACGAAATTCTCACTAAATATAGAAGTTAAAAGTTTGTATTAAACCTTTTCAAATGATTAATTAGTTACATATTTTTTTTAAAGTTAAAAGTTTCAACTAACCAATTCATTGTTTAAATCAACTCAAATTCACTAGAGAATCTATATGGGGAGGGGCTTTCACCTAAACCTTAAGGATCATAGGTTCTCAACCTTAGTAATTTTATCTAGGTATCATTCTCCAAAAAGTTTATTTTTAACTATTTTATTTTAAAGAGAAGTTTCTACTTTTTTTTTTCAAAAATAAATTTTGGGTAAACTATGCTAGTAGTCTCATTTGTTTTCGGTCTGATCGATTTTGGTAACCGATTTTTTAATTAAATACGTTTGGTCCCTTATGTTATCGATCCGTTCGATTTAAATCCTTCTACTGTTAATTCCCGTTAACCAGTAACGGAAGTATTACGTGGCAAATAAAATATTTTAAAAAAAATTCACGCCCCACGTCAACTCTTCTTGTTCTTTTTTCTTCTTTCCTCTTCTTTATCTTTTTCTTCTTCTAACTTCTTCTTATTCATCTTTTTCTTCTTTCACTCTCTATCAAGTAGATCTTACTCCAGTCAGACATGGAGATGATGTGGCCATTCGACGACGATGACTTCCCCTCACGTCCAAATTTTCATTCCCATAACTCTCAGCTTCAGCGCATGGGCTCCAGTGGTGTCAAGAATTATTGACAATGGCGGTAGCGTCTCGATCTTCGACATTATCAACTATCGACCAAACATCTTCTTCACCAAGTTCCGCGTCGTCAACGACATTCTCCCCTTGGCCATGGCTGTACCTAAAGCTTTCGAGCAATAAGTTGAGCGAAGAGCACTAAGTTGATTGTTATAAAATCCGAGACGAAAATAAAATAAAATAAAATCGAATTTTATTAATAAAGTAGAAGAAACAAGTTAGAGTAAAGAACCCGAATAATAACAGGAAATTGAACTTGAATCAAGTTGAGGCCTGCAACAACGCAGTTTACTTAAGACATATTTTCGGTCACTCCTTGGTGCTCGAGATATCTTAATTGTTTGCCTCCCAGGATACAACAATGATATGATCAGCGCATAGCAGTACAACTTACAAGATTAAGAACCAAATCTTGCTAGAGATTATTAGCGAAAACAATAGAGGAAGAGGAGAATTTTTGAACCGTGTTTAACCAGTAGGTTAGAACGATATTTATAATGTTTCACAAATGAGACAAATTGGAAATAATAATATATTCAGGCTATTAATTAATATCCGAATAAAATTGAAAACAATCAATTAATAATGCCTTGAATACAATTCGGTTGTTAATTAGCATCCAAATAAAATCGGAAATAATCAATTAACACAGTATCATATCGAATATATTCGTGAATTGCAAGTCATAACACTGCATAATACTTGTTGCATTTTCACAGAAGAAGAAGAAGAAGAAGAAAAAGAAGAAGAAGAAGAAAAAGAAGAAGAAAAAGAAGAAGAAGAAGAAGAAGAAGGATGTTGATGAGAATGGGTTGTGGGGAAAGAAGAAGAAGAGGGAGAAGATAAGAAGAATAGTCAATGTGACACTTGGGTTTTTTATTTTATTTTATTATTTTTAATTGTGAACTCATACTTCCGTTAATAGGATAACGAAAATTAACGGTTGAGTGACCTGAACCTGACGAACTGATAACGTTAAGGACCAAACACACTTAATTAAAAAGTCGGTGACCAAAGTCGATAAGAGCGAAAACTAAAGTGGCATATTGGCATAGTTTACCCATAAATTTTTCTTTCTCTTAGTAAAGTACATTACTGAAATCAGAAAAAATATAATTATATTCATTAATTTAACATGAAAAAATTTATTTTTTAATAATACGAGGTAATTATAAGATATTATATTTTATAATTTTTTAATCATTAACAACATATACACACTCTACAAAAGTAACTACACGAATGTAAGCCTTCTAAAAAAGAATAATATTTTATTTTATAATAAATCACTAAATAAATCCGTATAAAAAAAACTCTTAAAAGCTAAATAAGTGTACATATACAATTAACTCTAAAGATCACAACACAGATTAAACTACAGTTGAAAACAATTAACTAGATTCCAAATATTATTGGCCCTCTAAATCCCAACATTCATTTCATCCTATGCTTCTCTTATTTAAACCCACTTTTGCTCCTCTTCAGTTCTCACAACCTGCTCGATTTTTTTTCCTCTCCAGAAACCTAAACAAAAAGCATTCAAGTTGTGAAAGCTGAAAATGGTTCATTATCTGCCAAAGGATGAGAATCTTGCTTTAGCTTTCGATGGATCCGAATCCAATATACCCCGTCAGTTCATATGGCCCGACGACGAGAAACCATGCCTCGACGCACCGGAACTCGTGATTCCCACGATCGACGTGGGAGCTCTCGTGTGCGGGGGTGACCCTCTTGCCGTGTCGAGAGCGGCGGAGGCAGTGAACGAGGCATGCAAGAAGCATGGGTTTTTCATGGTCGTAAACCATGGGGTGGATTCCGGGCTTATAGTCAGAGCTCAACGGTACATGGACGTGTTCTTTGGCATGCAACTCTCCGAGAAGCAAAAGGCGCTGAGAAAAGTAGGGGAAAGCTATGGGTATGCCAGTAGTTTCGTTGGTAGGTTTTCCTCCAAGTTGCCATGGAAAGAAACACTTTCTTTTCGATTTCGACCTGACACTCCAAACATCGTCCACCACTATATGGTCAACCGGATGGGTGAAGATTTTCAAGATTTCGGGTAAGTAAAAATCTCTCACCCTACCTTTCCATTCCTAACAAGGGAAATGTTTGCACTTAATATACAAGGGCAAGACTACTTTAGTTTCTCTACATTTGTTAGTCTTGTTTATTTCAATCATTCTACTTATTTTGGGTGAAATTTTCGAGTTTTATTTTATAATTCAAACTTTACTTGTTTTTTTCGAGCATAATCAAGTTTATGAAAGTTTATAAAACTAGTCAAGTTGAATCAAGTTTTTTAGCCTCAAGTCAAGTCATAAAATTTGGTTTTTTTTAATCAAATAGAGTTTTGTTCACCCCTTGTATTAATAGAAAACTCAACCAAACTCTAAATCCATTAACCGACACAGATTGTCTTAAACTAGGACACACATGCAATAATTGATCTATAAATATTTTTTAGGGTAGACATGCATAGAATAGAGACAAAATGATTATTTTAACAAATGTTGGGATCTAATTTTGATTTTTCATACATGGCAGGAGGATTTATCATGAATACCGTGAGAAATTGCTAAGTTAATTTTTGTGTGAAATTGCTACATTTGTTAATCTCGATTTTGGTTTTTCATACATGGCATTGCAGAAGGATTTATCAGGAATATTGTGAAGCCATGAACAAATTATCTCTGAAGTTAATGGAGCTGCTAGGGGCAAGTCTAGGACTTGACCAAGCCTACTTCAAAGACTTCTTCCAAGAAAATGATTCAATCTTGAGACTGAACCACTATCCGCCATGCCAAAAGCCGAATTCGACACTCGGAACCGGTCCTCACTCCGATCCCACTTCCTTAACAATCCTTCACCAGGATCAAGTTGGTGGCCTTCAAGTGTTTTCAGATGAAAAGTGGCACTCCATTGCTCCCATCCCAGGAGCTTTCGTTGTCAACGTTGGCGACACATTCATGGTAGGGAACAAAGACCCCAACTATATATATATATTCAGTCATCCCTGGAAATTTCCAATTCTTATATCTTTTGTATTTTCTATTTGATAATCTATTTTCTTCATAAAAGTTTTATAAATCCATCCCCTAACATGAAATCCTATGCCTCTAAATGCAGGCTCTATCGAACGGCATTTACAAGAGCTGCTTACACAGAGCAGTAGTGAATAATCGAAGTGTTAGAAGATCACTCGCATTCTTTCTATGTCCAAAGATGGATAAGGCGGTAACACCAGCAGCCTGCTTAGTGAACGCAGCAAATCCAAGGAGATACCCGACCTTTACGTGGGCAAGTTTGCTGGAATTTACGCAGATACATTACCGCGCTGACATGAAAACTCTCGATGCATTCTCCAAATGGGTTCAAGAACAAGAATCAAACAAAAATGCAATAGCACCTTAAGCAATGATTTTGGGATATTAAATGAAATACGAGGGAAGCATTTATTTTCTTGTTCATGGTGGGTCTAAGATAGAGAGATACAGAAGGAAAAGGAACAATAGTATATAGGAGAAGCTTAATTAGTCCTTCGGAGAATTATTTGACTTATTTATAAATTTTAAATCTCTTATTTCCTTTTTTGTTTTTACTTTGAGTTTTGGTACTTTTGGTGCTTCTATTTGCATCTACAATCCATAAATTCATGAAACTGCAATAAATTGATTAAACAAAAAGGAATATAAATGTGAACATAATAGTATATAGGAGAAACTTCCACAGTGTTCTATCTTCATTCTGATAAACATTAAAATGAAAAAAAAAAGAACCAAAATTTAGGATTTGCCTCAACAACTGAGTTATCTTGATGCATGCATGAAGGTATGTGCATGTGACCGGGGAAATAAAGACCAAGAAATCGAATATTCGGTCTTTCGATTGACTCACCATGTTTTGCCACTTGTGGTATATGCCAGTGATATCTTTCTTTTTCCACGCCTTGACATCAAACATGTTCATTCCATATGCCCACCCACAAGCATTAGGATTAAAATTTAGTGAAATATGAGGGTTTGAGAAGTTCAGATACTCGTCAAAACGATGGAAGCTTTCCCCGCAAGTTTCCACTGCACCATTGACTTTTCCATGGAGATCGACAGACCATAATCCAGTCAAGTCTTTCTGGACAACAATGTCATCATCAAGAAAGAGGATCTTATCTAACTTTGGGTAAACCTGTGGCAGATAGAACCGCAGGTGATTAAGCATGGAGAGATACTTGGGTTCTGATACTTCAAGTTTGAAGATCCAGATGAGGTTGATGATCCGCCTTGAAGTAATACTCCTTCATCGCAGCAGTCTCAAGCTGTCGTAGGACAGGGCAATAGGATGAATTAAGCCACTTGAATTCATCAACATTTTCAACATTAATAGTGGCTTTTCCAGGGGGATTCAACATAAACCACATGTACATTGCTCCGATATTAAGTTTATCGGTAACGAGATGGAAAATATGTCTTGAAGGATGCTGCAATACAACCACAAAGAAAATTGTAATGAATACTGCACCTGAGCCTCAATTCTTAGAAATCTAATACTTTCAATTGTACAAGTGAAGACATTTTGTGCAAAGATAAGGCAGTTTTTATCACCTTGGCATTCATGATAATTGAATTGACAACAACCGATGCAGCCAAGACATTATCAGAAAAAAGGGCGTAATGGTAGAGATTTGGATTTTCCAAATTCCCACTTCTAGTGAAATGTCTCTTATCTGGGGGAAGGAGATAATACTCTATGGTCAAAAGCATTGACAGGCAATGAATTGCATTGGGAAGTGTTTTGGCTCCTAACTGACTCAGGAAGATGCTCTGTTTTTTCAATCTCCTAACCTGTTCTTCTGATGTCTTGAGCATTGCTCTGAGCTTTCTGGAAACCAACTTGCAATCATACAATTCATCTCTTGCTTTGGCTAGATCTTTTCCCATTGCTTGAATTTTCTCAGATGCACTGAATAAATTCACATAACACAAACTAACAGGATCAGCAAAAGAAAAAACCAGGGGAAACATTGACTACGGCACATAGCCAATGCGTCCATTTACCTGTGAGGTAGATCGGCATCAGTTGTTGACTCTCCTCAGGCTTGCTGACTCTCTTTGAGCCGAACATGCATTTCTTTCCGCAAGTCAAGCTTGTTTTTCAAGCTTGCAATACTCGCCATTATAATTTGATCACTCATCAAGCGCACTGTGGAATCAGAGTTCTCATTATCAACTTCTCTCCTCCATATGTTGTATTTGGCGAGAACTGCAGAATCCACAGCTTTGGATCGTTCAATGGCTGCATTTTCAAGTTTCACAGTAACTTCATCGTCTTGATGGACCAACCAGCCACCTGCTTCTTACGTTTATCATCTCCAAGACTCCAAGTTGCTGCAGGGTAAATAAAGTGCCTCTTATTATATAATTCATTATAATAATAATCTAACTCCGTGCATCCAAAAGATGATAACTACCCTTCGAAGTGTATTAATCTGCTTATCGTGCGACTGATCATCTGCATAGAACAGGCAGGTTAGCATGAAATAAAATGTACCAAGAGCATTAGGTAGATATATTTAACAGATCAAAAATATCTTACCATAAAGAAGCTTTCCTTCTTTAACTTGAGATATTACTTGTTTCAAGTCTGTAGCCTTTTGATTTGACTTTGAACATGTGACATGTAAATAAAGACAAATAAATCAGCAACTAAAATTTGGGGCAAGGAAAGGTCCAGCTGAAGGCGGTAGAAAATACAGAAGCATGTAATAGACGTGAATGCTCAGGTGGAAAATAACTATGACCCTAACCTCAGAGGCAGCTTTCTCTGCAATTGAAGCATCCACCCCGTCAACTGCCCATGATGCAGACAAATTGCCATTTCTGAAAGAATCAATACTTAGCGGCCCCAAATCTACTGTGCTTGTAGTTACAACATCAATAGCCTAGACTCATTTACGCATGACATGAGACGATAAACATAACTGACAATTAAAATCTATCACTAGTTGGAGCACGAAACTCAACTGCAATATTATCCATAATTCATTCACCTCTTTAGTAAAAAGGTTTTTGACAGATTGCGATGGCGGCCTTTCCCTCCAATCGACATTCTGCAAAATCCAACCATTTTAAAATAATGCGGAGCCGGGTATGAAGAAGATGTGACAGTCTGTAATCTAAGTAAAAACAATGCAAATGCACAAGGTTTTAGAAGAAGAAACCTGTTCGCTATTCTGTGTGTGGTTTTTTTTAAAGGATTTTCCACGTAAAATCTTAATGTTTATTTTATTTAACGATCATTATGCATGTCGTTATCTTATAACAATATCTTTATTAGCAATTTGCTTGCTGATAGGTAATGGGAAAGTGGGCTATGTAAATCAAGCAAATAACATGTACTTGTCCCCGGGGTAGGTCTTATTATCGGGTTCCTCATTATTCTTTTCTTGACCTTTCTTAGATCTTAACTTCTATTACCTATCTATAACACATCGCTAAGCACGAGCTTTTTCACTTCGGGTGCAGCAGGAGACGATGGAATACGTATTTCGAAATATGTGGTTCCCGATTTACAGTCCACTTGTTCATGAAAAGTAGGCTTTGATATTTGTATTTGTTTATCACGATCCGGAATCGGACTGCGGTACGGCCACCCAACTTCAGCCGGGAAACAAGCCAAACTTTGTTCTTTCAATTACTATTAAGATTATACCATTTTATCCTTTTTTCCAATAAATAAATCTGAACTGTTATTAAGAGCTCGACACCATTCTAAATCTGCACTTTTTAGCAAATTTAGATGCTCTTCTTGTTGGAGTATTAATGTTCAGTTTGGTCTCCCTGTTCTAAATGCAATTTGGCATTTGAATCTACCAGTTTGATGAGGTAAACTATTTGAAGTAACTAAGCATTTCTTTTCCATTATAAATTGGAGGGAAGAGACTGTACACAAGTTCATGAATTTTTAAAATTTTACAATGTAAAAATAAATTATCAATAATTAGTAGTACTGCATGTAAAAGATAGGGTAAAGTATATAAACAGTCTCCAAACTTTTAGGACTCTTGCTTTTTGGTCACTCAACTTTTGAAACATGCAATACAGTCAAACTTTTAGTTCATTTTCATTTTGATCCTGTCGTTACCTCCCGTTAGTTTTTGCTGATGTGGTATTTAATCCCGTTAACTCGCCCTCTTCTTCCTCTTCTTCTTCCCTGTTAACAACCTTGATGCATTAAAAACCCTAACCGCATAATCAAAAACTCAAAAATCAAAAGCTTGGAAAACGAAGACACGGTACGGTAGGTATCACACACCCATTTTTCTTCGTTGTTGTCCTGGAGGTCCAGATGGCAGAAAAATGTCAAGTTGACCAACTAATGAGCTGGAAATCCTGTATCAATGCCAAAACAACAGGTATTCATAAACAAAATATGGTAATGAGAATCATAAAAAGGCCTGTCGAACCAAAACAGAAAGCTCATTGCTAACTAAAATGAAAATGGTAGAAAAATAGAGATAATGAACGTAAGCTACTTCTCTATCTAAAAGATCTCTAGCTTGAATAAACAAACTTTTTAGCCTCGATAATGAAGAATCATCTGGTTTCTCAATTACCTCAGGAGCTGCATAGGTATATGAAAGTTCAAAATTAACACTAAAAATTGGTAATAGTTAATAAAGAACATGAAATAAAGCAAAACAAGGAAGAAAAACTACTCTTAAATCCAGAAAATAGTTGATTCCAGATATAGCTTTTAAAAGGTAATGACCATATGGGTCTCAAAATTCCTTAAACCCTAATAAATTGAAAACAAAAAATTTATTTATCGTCTTGTTGCAACTAAATACAAAAAACTAGATATCGAGAGTAAGTTTATGAACTCGGACCTCAATTAAATCAATCAAGACATTTCCAAGAGAACAAATATCAGGAGTAAGTTTATGTTAAGAAAATAATGAAATCCGAACTAAAGCAACTAAATGGATATTTCGAAGCTCACCAGTTATAAGGTAAATTATACATGAAGCATTGAACTTCTTCTACATGTATACAAAACTAACCATCCTCAAAATGGGTTTCAGGTATGTAATGAGTGAGGACCAAACAATTTATTTCTCCATTAAAATTAATCCCCGTGAGTAGCAATTTCAGGTAAATATGTTTTTCAATCAAAATTCAAAAGGGCAAAACTTCACACTAAAATTACCTCGAAGGTTTGCTAGCTATGAAGTTTAAACCACAACTTAGATTCAAATAAGTATTAAACCAAGTCAAAGTACAAATAGGAACTATATTCCTTTACTATTTGATCATATTACTCTACTTTTTTCTTCAATAAACCAACCAAAAAAGTCATCAATTAAAACAATCAGCAATAATAATGTATGACAGAAAAAACTTCCTTATCCACTAAAATCCATCATCAACGGAATTTAACCTCTTTTAAAACCAAACCTACCTAAAAAAAAAAAGCATGTTTTTAATAAGAAAAAAAACTAAAAACCCAGAGAGCCAAACAACTTAAAAGCATTGAAAAAAACACCATATTTTGATAATATAAAACATACACAGATCATAAGATTTGAAGCTAAAGGGGATAAAAAGAAGTTGAGAAAAATTACTAGGTTGAAGCTTCTTGTGTAGCTTGTTGAAATAAGCACATCTTCTTGTTCTTTCCTTAACCGATCGAGTTCCCTTTTGATTTTTGGGCTTTTGATTTTCTGGGGTTAGGGTTTTTAATGCATGCCATCAAGGTTGTTAACAGGGAAGAAGAAGAAGAAGAAGAAGAAGAAGAAGAAGAAGAAGGAGGAGGAGGAGGAGGAGGAGGAGGAAGGGGAGTTAACGGGATTAAGTGTTACGTTAATAAAAACTAATGGAGGTAACGATACGGATCAAAATGAAAACGAACTAAAAGTTTGATGACTGTATTGTATGTTTCAAAAGTTGGATTACCAAAATGCAAATACTGTTGAAGTTCGGGGCTATTTATATAATTTACTTTAAAAGATATTTAAATTTTTTTAGGAATTGCTAATCCGGTCATTCCTGTGTTGGTCCACCATCCAGAGATGGATTTGGTTTGAAAGTATGTGGTTTGAAAGAGGTGCACTGCAACCCTAGGATTGTCATTCTTATATTGTTTCGTGTCATACTCGAGGATCGCGTGGACTTTTGTGTACTCTGATGTCATACTCAAGGATCACGTATAAATTGTATCTACCCATGATATTTTAGCGGTTCAACCTTTTATTTCCAAGAAATTGCCGCTGAAAATGGTCTTTTCATCTAAATTATTTGATTTTTTTTAAATAAAATAACATCTACTTTTTAATTATTTATCGATATAATACTATTTTTTATTCTACTTTGACTAGTAAGCGCCAGCATTCCACGAATGCTATTTTGTCGGTTCGACTTTTTATTCCAAAAATTTTCGCTGGCCATATCCCTTTTATCTAAATATATTGAAAAAATATTAATAAATAATTACTAAAATTATATTGCTCTTTTTTATTAAGCGATGTTGACACCCTCACAGAAGAGAGAGTGGAACAAGTTTTGAACAAGTTTCTTGAAGATTTCAGAGAAGGAACGATGAGAACGAATGGCTGGCAAACTTACATAGGACCAACTGCCTATAGTGTCTCGAAACTTACATAGGACCAACGAATGGCTTGATATCCTGGTATGAACCAGATTCTGCGGCAAATTAGCTGCTATATATTTTTACCATGTATGTAGCTGTACATCTCTTGAACTTGATGAAGACATATTCTCGAATTTGCAATAAGGTAAATGCTCGAATGTTTGACCTTCTTCAGGTCAATAACGCTGGTATAGGAGGAAGTACAGTGAACCATGATGCTTTAAAAGACGCAAAAATTTCTGGCAGTGAGGTAATTAAGTCACTGGGAAGCAGTTCTCTTTACACTTTGGAAAAGCTTAAATTTTTATTTTGGCCAAAGTCATGTTCGAAACTCGTGAAACCTTTATATGTTCGTTTATGTATTTGATGATTACTACATTCCATTTGAACAACTAGCCTTTCGAGATATTTGAATTGGCGCAAGGCGTTTTACATAATATTATTTCTCCCAGAATCCCTTACCGAAGTTTCTCATACAAAAATGCAGGCAGACCTGAAAGCCGTTTGGAGTTAAGTCCTGGTTGAAACTTACGAGTTAGGGAAAGATTGCATCGAAACAAACTACCATGGTGCTAAAGCTACGTCGGAAGCGCTTATTCCTTTACTCCAGTTATCTGATTCTCCAAGGATTGTTAACATTTCCTCTTCCATGGCCAAGTTAAAGGTAAATATATTGATCTGTCAGGCCAGCTTGAGAATAAGAACTGAGTGAAACTCTGAATCCAGAATGGCTAAACCATACTTTCATGAATTTGTAGTATATACCTTGTGAACAGCGCAGAGTGATATTAAGGGATGCCGATACAGAGAAAATCGATGAATTCGTTGCGGAGTTTCTTAATGATTTTAAAGAGGGGTCATTAGAAAGCAAGGGTTGGCCAACTTTTCTCTCAGCCTATACAATCTCAAAAGCAGCCATGAGTACCTATACAAGGATTTTGGCCAAGAAGTATCCAAATTTCTGCATCAACTGTGTTTGCCCTGGTTTCGTCAAAACGGATATAAATAACAATACCGGTCACTCGACTCCTGAAGAAGGCGCAGCGATCCCGGTCAAGTTAGCACTCTGGCCAAATGGCGGTGCCCCTTCCGGCCTTTTTTTTGTTCAGTGTGAACCATCATCATTTGAATGAAACTATTGATAAAACAATCAAATCCCCTCAAAGAGATTGTGAACTCAGTTCAGGTTTGTCTCTTCATCATAGATGGTGTAATGCTCCATTAAATTTAATGTTCATGCATGTGGAAAATTTTCTAAAATATGTATGATATGCCGTTAATGTGAGTTTCTTTGTTATTTTCTGATCTGATAAGCTAAAATTTTAGGTGAAATGTTAGCAGAGTTAATGTCTCAAGCAAAAGGTCAAGCAATAAAACGTTGATGCTTCCATTTACTTGTTTGTGTTGAAATCAGAGATTTAGAGAAAGAAAAAAGGAGAGTAAGTAGAGAGAATTTAATCAATGATGTGTATTGCAAAAGAAAATTACAAGACTATTTCTACACACGAAATAGCTCTGACGAAAGAACAAATAAATATATTTTTTTCCTAATAATATGGAATGATTATAAAATAATATATTAACCATTGATAACACATATTTTATGGATGCAGTTGCTCAAATATAAGATTTCAAGAGAGAATAATACTCCCTTCAACTATTAACATTATTAGATGGGTTTAATTAAATGTAATTTCTAATAGTAAGCTAATTAAATAAACAAAAAACCTAAAAAGACGTTGAATATGTTAGTTAACACTCCTCAAGTTGGTGCAAAGATGTCTCGTATATAAAAGGATGTATCTTTATTCGAATTCTAATAGTAAGCTAATTAAATAAACAAAAAACCTAAAAAGACGTTGAATATGTTAGTTAACACTCCTCAAGTTGGTGCAAAGATGTCTCGTATATAAAAGGATGTATCTTTATTCGAATTCTACCGGATTTCGATTCATCTTATGGGGTTAAGTTTTTTTTTTTAAAAAATCGAATTTAAGTTGGATCGAATTTATAAAGGATGAGTTTTTGATTTAGGTTTAGGGTAAAAATATCTGACTAAGGATTATAATATAAATTTTATCTAGATTTTAATGAATAAATATCATAATATCACTCTCTGTATACTTTTTTTCAACCGTGTCTTATTTTATAATAATATAAAAGTTTAACCAAATCTAACTTATTGCCATCCCAAGTGGTATATGTCCAAATTGAAAATCAGATTGTAACAAGTTTTGCATGTGAGTCTTTTAATTTATGAAGACATCTGCTAGTTCACTTGCCTGTTCGATGTCCCAGGGCAGGGACTTGTTGACGGTTGGCGGTTGCGTGGGGAGTTTGGGTTTAGGATCCAACAATGAATTTTGTTTTTTTATTAACTGAATTGAAAGATTAGATTTTTTACAGGGGCAATTTTTGTAATTATTGACAACCAGCTTTTTCTTGTTTTATTTCTGTTTTGGAACTTCTGTATTTATGTTATAAGTTCATCATTTCTTGTATTTTACTCCAGTTATCAGCAACATTAAGTGATGGGGACATAGTGCTAGTTAACACTAAACTTTTTTTTAAAAAATCTTTATAAACTAATTTGATGCTAAAATTTTATATAATTTTAAACTAATTCGGAAATCAATTCATTCACGTTGATTCATTATGTTAAATATAAAAAAATAATTAAAATAGTTCATTTTAGAATTAATTTAAATATTGATTTGCATGATAATTATGATTCATATTATTTTATTGATTTTTAATTGAATATTTTCCGTTATCTAATAATAGAATAAAATTAATGAAAATAGGTTGGTAATTTTATGATGTGATGTGAAGAGGGAAATTTTGGAGTGAACTTGGATGATTGGATACCACAAAACAAAGATATTTTAGGACTTGATTCTGGGACTTTTGTATTTAAAGAATTGTATGATGAGCTTATCAGTTCGTCGCTTTTCATTCAAATTATCAACTGGCTTCTCAGTTCTCACTTCCACTTCCCCACAACATCAATGGCGGAAGCAATGAAGAGGTACTGTTTTCTCTTCTCCATCTCATCCGTTGAGTATTGGACCATTTTTGCTTAATTTCTTCTTCACATATATGCAGTGGTTACCGGTGCAAACAAGGGGATCGGATTGGAAATATGTAAACAGCTGGCTTCGAAAGGAATCACGGTTGTTTTAACCGCTAGAGATGAGAAGAAGGGTCTTGAAGCAGTCGAAAAGCTCAAAGAGGTCGGCCTATCGGATCGAGTAGTTTTTCATCAACTCGATGTTGCCGACCCAGCTAGTGTTGTTTCTTTCGTAGAATTCATTGAAACACAATTCGGGAAGCTTGATATCTTGGTATTATTTCACCTTCCAGTTTGCTGCAAAATTAGTGCTCTTTGATTCTTTTTTTATCAGTTCCCTCGTTTTAGTTCTTTCCCGGTTCACTTTGATTGAATGATGAGAGATGGAGTTTTGGGACTTGTACAGGTGAATAATGCGGGAATTACTGGCTTCAAAAGCGATGGTGAAGCTCTTCTAGCTACAGGTTTTGGTAAGGTAGATTCCTCTGAATCCACTTAGTTTCATAAACCAGAGTACAGAATTATCTCTTCAAACTCATAGCTAATGTTTGAGAGAGTCAAAGAGATTGCAAATGCTAGGACATGAACTAGTTCGGTCATGGGCCGCTTCGAGTTTTTGGCCCATCCCAACTTAACCTGAAAATCAAATCTGTTCATTTACGTCTGACTTGACCAGGGATTAACAGAACCTCATTCTATTTGAAATCTGATCCAACTTAAATATATATATATATATATAATTCATTTTTATTAGATAAAATAATGACTTGATTTGAAGAAAAAAAATATAGAAAGCAATATTATTTCAATTATCTCTAAATATATAAGAATAATTATAATATTATCTAGAGTAAGATAAAGATTTTAATACTAAATCCGAATCCGTCCTCGCCCTTCAAAAGATATCGACTCAAACCTGATTTATTTTATGAAAAAATCCAACCCGCTCAATTCTGGTCAGGTCAAAACCCATTGATTCCTGATCATATGTATCCCTAACTCGAATCCGAAATTCACAATGTCATCTTTTACCAATAACATGAATTAACTAAGCTAAGCCCTAGATTAATGTTTTCCTATACATAATAGCTCTCGTTTAAAGCCTAATTAAGATCCCATATG